AAAACTGGTTTGATACAGTTCAGCCCTGTGGCCCTCCGGCTTGTCGCTCAGCGTGGATTACCGGGGTCTGCAGATGAATCCAGCAGTGACCAGTGATGGCGAGTAAAACAGTCACCGCCAAAAAAAAGTGAACACGTTTATCAGCCAAACTGCATCATTCTGCCCTCAGCGTCTGGGGCAAAGATCAACTACGCCTCTACAGGATAGACTAGACTTCGATTTTCCTTCTTTTTGGCCCAGAATGCTGAAATAGTCATTTTCATTCGATAGACTTGTTGGAAGATCTCCTCTCTCGTATCGTTCTCTGTGTTGTTGGGTCCTTCTTTCGGATATTTATTGATCGATTTTCCCCCTTCCTTCTAGACCCTTCCCGATTGCTATCTAGAGTACTGCTATCCGAGAACTACTTACCTAACCTGGTCTACTACTACTGGTAACCTTTGTCTATCTGGCCACTTGGCATTCATGACTCGGTAGCCACGTTCTCTCTTTATATTTCTTCCCGTTCTTTTCTTCCTATCTCTCCTTTTCGTCTCCCTCTCTCTTGGCTTGTTCAGTTGTTTGAGGTGTGATTGACAATGGAGCGATCTTTTCTCCATTCTCCAGCAGAAGTGCTGGAGCACTTTGGAGTCTCAGAGCGCGCTGGTCTGTCTCAGGATCAGGTCTTGAAATCTAGGCAGAAGTATGGTCCAAATGGTCAGTACTCCCCCACCTCCACACTCAGCGCACAGAGTGATCCAAGCTGACCGGTGTTGATGAACAATGAAGCTCTCGCGGAAGATCCACCGACCCCTCTCTGGGAACTCGTGCTAGAACAATTTAAGGACCAACTGGTCCTCATCCTCTTAGGCTCCGCTGCTGTGTCCTTTGTACTGGCTCTTTTTGAGGAAGGTGACGACTGGACAGCATTTGTTGACCCTGTTGTGGTACGTTCTGCGAAACCCAGTTGTACAAAGGTGGTGCTTTGAAGGATTGAGCTAATTGTAAACCTGCCAACCTAGATTTTGACTATTCTGATCCTCAATGCTGTCGTCGGTGTCACGCAGGAGAGCAGCGCGGAAAAGGCAATTGCTGCTCTTCAAGAATACTCTGCAAACGAAGCAACAGTGGTTCGTGATTCGAAAACCCAGCGCATTAAGGCGGAAGATCTTGTCCCTGGAGATATCATCCACATCGGAGTTGGTGACCGCGTTCCGGCCGACTGCAGACTGCTAGCTATTCAAAGCAACAGTTTCCGCGTTGATCAAGCGGTCCTGACGGGCGAAAGTGAGAGTGTCTCCAAGGATACGCGCTCGATCAAGGATGAACAGGCCGTCAAGCAAGACCAGACAAATATCCTATTCTCGGGCACATCGGTTGTCAACGGCCATGCTACTGCCATTGTTGTGTTGACTGGTGCATCGACTGCTATTGGTGGCATCCACGAAAGTATCACGTCTCAGATCTCAGAGCCGACGCCGCTTAAGCAGAAACTCAACGATTTTGGCGACATGCTGGCCAAGGTGATCACTGTCATCTGTGTTCTCGTCTGGGTGATCAATGTTGAGCACTTCAATGACCCGGCTCATGGTGGCTGGGCTAAGGGTGCCATTTACTATCTCAAGATTGCCGTCTCTCTGGGCGTGGCCGCCATCCCGGAAGGGTTGGCTGTGGTCATCACCACCTGTCTCGCTCTGGGTACGCGTAAGATGGCGGCTAAGAACGCCGTCGTTCGGTCTCTGCCGTCCGTCGAAACTTTGGGTAGCTGCAGTGTGATCTGCTCGGACAAAACTGGAACCTTGACTACTAACCAGATGAGCGTGGAAAAGCTTGTTTACCTCAATGCGTCCGGTGATGACCTGGAGGAGATAGACGTCGAGGGCACAACTTTTGCTCCCGAGGGCAACCTCTCCCGTAACGGGAAGGTATTGCAGAACCTTGCTGTAACCTCGTCTACCGTTCGCCAGATGGCTGAAGTCATGGCACTTTGCAACGGCGCTACCATTGCCCATGACCCCAAGAGTGGCACTTTCTCCTGCATCGGTGAACCTACTGAAGGAGCATTGAGGGTATTAGTTGAAAAGATCGGCACTGATGACATGGCTACCAACGAAAAGGTGTTTCGACTGCCCGCTTCTCAGCGACTTCACGTTTCGAGTGCCCACTACGAATCACGCCTACCACTGCTGGCTACATATGAATTCTCCCGCGACCGCAAGAGTATGTCTGTCCTGGTTACAAAGGACAAGGCTCAGAGGCTTCTGGTCAAGGGCGCCCCTGAATCGATCCTCGAACGCTGCTCCTATGTCCTTTTGGGATCTGATGGGCCCCGTGTCCCTCTCACCAAAGCGTACAGTGATCTTCTTGCTAGGGAAGTTGTCGAGTACGGCAACCGTGGTTTGCGTGTCATTGCTCTGGCTAGTGTCGATGATATCGCGGATAACCCCCTCTTGCACAATGCTCAAACCACCGAGGAGTACGCTCAGCTGGAAAGGAACATGACTCTGATTGGCCTTGTTGGAATGCTGGACCCTCCGCGCACCGAGGTCGCTGACTCCGTGAAGAAATGCCGTGCCGCTGGTATTCGCGTGATCGTTATCACCGGTGACAACCGCAACACTGCTGAATCTATTTGCCGTCAAATTGGTGTCTTTGGTGAGGATGAGGACCTTACGGGCAAAAGCTTTACTGGCAGGGAATTTGACGGCCTCTCGGAAAGTGAAAAGCTCGAGGCCGTCAAGAAGGCGTCTCTGTTCTCGCGTACCGAGCCAAGCCACAAGTCCAAGCTGGTCGATCTTCTTCAATCTCTGGGCCATGTGGTTGCAATGACTGGCGATGGTGTCAACGATGCTCCTGCCTTGAAGAAGGCCGATATTGGTGTTGCCATGGGTACGGGAACGGATGTTGCTAAGCTGGCCGCTGATATGGTTCTGGCTGACGACAACTTTGCGACAATCACCGTGGCCGTCGAAGAGGGCAGATCGATCTACAGCAATACTCAGCAATTCATTCGCTATCTGATCTCCTCAAACATTGGAGAGGTCGTATCTATCTTCTTGACCGCAGCTCTGGGCATGCCCGAAGCATTGATCCCTGTCCAGCTCCTCTGGGTGAACCTGGTCACTGACGGGTTGCCTGCTACCGCCTTGTCGTTCAACCCTCCTGACCATGATGTGATGAGACGCGCGCCCAGAAAGCGCGATGAGCCTCTTGTGGGTGGTTGGCTACTTTTCAGATACCTGGTCATCGGCACGTACGTCGGTGCTGCTACTGTTTTTGGTTACATATGGTGGTTTGTTTATAATCCAGAGGGTCCTCAGATCTCCTTCTGGCAGCTGGTAAGCAAATCGTCTCAGTGAGACCTTTTCGTGCCCGTCTAACTCGTATTTGCAGTCCCATTTCCACAAGTGCTCCGCTCAATTCCCCGAGACCGGCTGTGAGATGTTTTCCAACGAGATGTCGCGGTCCGCATCCACTGTGTCGCTCTCAATCCTTGTGGTTATTGAGATGTTGAACGCCATGAACGCGCTCTCGTCCAGCGAATCTCTCCTCGCCTTCCCTCTTTGGAACAATATGATGCTGGTGTACGCCATCATTCTGTCGATGACCCTCCATTTCGCCATTTTGTATATTCCATTCCTGCAGACATTGTTCTCTATTTTGCCGTTGAACTGGACTGAATGGAAGGCGGTTCTGGCGATCAGCGCTCCTGTTGTGTAAGTCTTGCCCTCATCCGTCCTCACTCAGAGTTCACCTGTTGCTAACTGTTTATGAAGGGCCATTGATGAGCTACTTAAATATGCGGAGCGCCGCCTGTACACTCTCCCTGGAAATGCAGGGGAGCAGCAGAATGGGGTGGCATTCAAGCCCAAGAAGGCGTAGGCGTTGGCCGATGAAGTGATGACCAACGGGCCTGTTGATTACTAGATAGAGACAATGGCCTGTGCGAATCAGTCCTGTCATCTTTTTTCCTTCTTTCGTGAGGCATCTGAAAGTATATATGTATAAATCTAGATGACCCTAACGTATAGAAATGACGAAACGACTTGACCCTGATGTGTGGTGATGAGTAGATACACTTTGATGCTTCTTAGTTGTTGCCTATGGATGCCTCAGGTATGGATGCCTCAGCGTCACGTTTCTGGGAGGAAAAGAAAGCATGCCAACTCTCTACCCTTTAGCAAGCTTAGCCACCAACGTGCGTACGAACTGTGCAAGCTCACAATTGCCTTCTCCTTGAAAGTTCACCGAATTCACCGGTAGTTAACCTTAAGACGATTTCAACCACTACTACAAATGCGGGGGAAAAGACAAACAAGCCCCCACAGGAATGCCAAGCGATGCTGGAACTCTCTCTTTGCGAGGAATGTCACCCCGACCTAAAACAGCACCTGGGGCATATTGGGCCGCACTATCCAATCAATGATCATCGATCCTTCTAGGAGTCTAAGGATTGGAGAACTCTGGCACGTTATCTGCGTGGCTTAGTGGTGGATTCTCTCCGCCGATCCTTCCCCAGAGTGCGGAGAAACCGAAGTCTGGGGGATGAGGAAGTGAAGGTGTACTACTACGTACGGACGCACCATCGGAACCGTGTTCACCTCGGGGGCAATATGCTGTGCTTTTCCTTCTTGGCGAAGTGGAATCTCTGCCGTTTTTTCGGCGAATTGCTTCATGTTGTCAGGTCGTGATAGGCCGACCCGTTCGAGGTCTCATACCGGAAAATGAGCAGAACGGGACAGAATACCGTTGAGGGCCATGTGGTCTGTGGCTGCCGGGCCACTGTGACCTTGCTAATGCGCTACTGCCAGGAGAAGCAACCATCTTCGCTTCTGGGGTAGCACGGCTGATGGCGTGCTGTAGTAGTACATAAAGGGTCTGGTTCGTCGAGGGGACCCTGGTCACTGTCTTCTCTTCTTCCCCCCAACCCCCTCATTCCCTCCTTTCTTCTTGCGTTTCTTTATGAAGGATTCCTTTACAAGACACCATCAGGCCTGCCATTAAGCTTCGCAATTGCCGAAATGGGGGTCGCTCAGGTTCTCAAATCCCGCTCGGCGCTCCGGGTGAATAATAAGAGTACCACCTCTGCAGCTACGCTCACCTTGCGTCAGAGTCTGTGGCCCCTCGCCCTGGTCACGATTCTCTTCTTTATGTGGGTGAGTCGACGCCTGGATTGACTGACGAACTTGAACTTGACGAATATATGCTGATCATGTTCCATGTGTAGGGTTTTGCCTATGGACTGCTAGATACTCTTAACAAGCATTTCCAAAATACACTTAACATCACCCGGACTCGTTCCTCGGGTCTTCAGGCCGCATATTTCGGGTATGATTTGCCAGTTATATATAAATCGAACCCTTCGTGGAACTGACTGGTTGCAGGGCCTATCCACTCGCATCGCTGGGTTACGCTAACTGGATTCTGCGTCACTACGGATACAAGGCCGTCTTTATCTTCGGACTGACCCTGTATGGTATTGGAGCGCTTTGCATGTGGCCGGCCGGCCTCAATCGGTCCTTTGGGGGTTTCTGCGCGGCCACATTCGTCATCGGGTCGGGGCTGGGGTCCTTGGAGACCGCTGCCAATCCGTACCTTACCGGTCAGTAGAGGTTATGAAAAGAGGGGAAGGCAGTTGTGCTAATCTGCGCTGGATAGTCTGTGGACCACCGAAGTACGCTGAATTGCGAATCAACCTTGCCCAGGCTTTCAACGGCATCGGCACCTGCGTCGCGCCAGCCTTGGCCTCATACGTCTTCTTCACCGATACCCAGGACGATGTAGCGGCCTTGAAGAGCGTGCAATGGGTCTATCTCGCCATCGGCATCTTCGTCTTCATTCTTGCTGGGGTCTTTTACCTATCCAACATCCCCGAAGTCACCGACGAGGACATGGCCTTCCAAGTTGCCGAAACCCACGTTGACGAGCAGGAAAAGCCACTCTGGAAGCAATATAAGCTGTTCCATGCTGCCTTGGCTCAGTTTACATACACCGGTGCCCAAGGTGCGTCAATTTTTTTTTTTTTTGTATATAGCATACCGCTCGGTCTAACACACACAACAGTCGGCATCGCAGGCTATTTCATCAACTACGCCGTCGAAACCTGGCCCGGCACCTCGAGCGCCACGGGCTCCAAGTACCTCGCCGGTGCGCAGGGCGCCTTCACCGTCGGCCGCTTCTCCGGCGCCTTGCTCATGAAATACATGCGTGCGCGCTGGGTCTTTCTGGTATATCTTTCGGGCGTGGTGGCGTTCCTCGCTGCGTCCATCACCCAAAGAGAGCAGAATGGAATTGGTATACTCTCCCCGCCCGCCCCCCCCTCGCCTGACTCTCAGGAGGATATGATACTCACTGATGATTGATTCCAGCCATGCTTTTCGTCACCATGTTTTTTGAGTCTGTCTGCTTCCCCACCATCGTCGCACTGGGTATCCGCGGTCTGGGCCGCCACTACAAGCGCGGGTCTGGCTTCATCGTCGGCGGTGTCTGCGGTGGTGCCGTCGTGCCGCCCCTCCTGGGCCATGTGGCCGATATGCACAACAGCACGGGCTTCGCCATGATTGTCCCCACGATTTTCATGGTCGCTGCGTGGACGTATGCCGTCGCCGTCAACTTTGTGCCTGCGTACCGCGATACGGTCGACAAGGTCGGCGACAGCCAGATCGGGTTGACCGAGGGTGATGGAGCTGGCGTGATGAAGGACATCGAGGCTCGGGGGATGGAGAAGTCGGCGGAGGGGTCCGTCCACATTGAGCATTGATGATTGTAATTGGCAGTAGTTTGTATTTCCGATGAGTATGCGATGCGTTATGATCTATACCTAGTGCGAATTGTTCCAATCAACATTAACGGCCGGTGCATGTCTATTGCGTAACAGGGTTTGACGAAATCTACTCTATCTATATGAACATATGTATATGACGAAGTCAAACAAACAGAAGCAAAAAGCTTGAATGAACTGTCGACGTCTAGACAACAGCGGGATGACTGCGCTGTGCGCTAAATATCATACTCCGTGCTCAATCGGGTACCAGCCCGAGCAGGCAGAGAAAAAACGAAAATGAGTCAAAACTGAGGGTATCTCCATAGAGAGAATATGATCAGAGGAAACGAAAGGCAGAAGAAGATATCAGCAGGTACAGAGGGAAGAGATTGTATCAGGAGAGAGACGGGATGAAGTGAAGGAAAGGTTATCGGAGGAAAAAGGAAAAGAACGAAAAACGAATGAATTCGTGGCAGACGATGAAAAGCGTATACCGTTCGTATCTCCACCAAATCCAAAATAATACAGGTATTCAAAAAAGCCGATGCCACATTGCCGCAAAAGGGGTATAAAGGCTAGTGCAAAACAAATAAATGATTCTATGAGAGGTCATTGGTCACCTGACATGGAACTGGTTCGTCTGTCGAATTCGATGTGTCCAAGGCGACTCCTAGGGAGCCACAGCGTTTGTGGAGGTGACAACAACGGTCTTGCTGTCCTCGTCGCGCAGAGCTGGCGCGTCTGCTGTGCCTGCTTTTGATGCTTTCAGGGAGGAAGAGCGAGGGGGCCGAAGTGGGCTCGTGTCGATATCCGGCGCAGGGGCGAGCGATGGTTTTTGACACTTGGCCGCTGAATCACTTGAACAGTCAAAAGGCTTACTCTCTTGCTCCGGCTTGATGATAGCGTCCACTGGCGAGCCTGGATCCTCATCTGGACCAGAAAAAGTCTCTACTTCCTCAATATCTTCCTCTGCCATATCCTCCTCTTCTTCGATGATTTGACTTTTCCGCGTTGCAGCCCGAGCCTTGCTTGCACCGTGGGCCGAATCCATCGCAGCATTGTCGTGTGGGAATTCCGTTGCAGCCATGCCACCAGAGGCCATGAGATTCGCTGTGTGTAACATAGGACCTCTGAAGGCAGACTTTTTGCGCCTGGCAAACACAAGGCTGCTTGAGGGCGAGTAGAGTAACGGCGCGGGCGCTGCTTCGTTGAAAACAGATTGCATCCTTCCGTTCGCATCGTGGGTATCACGGAATCCATTGCTTGCATTCCGTACGAGGCGAATGTTACTCGGAAAGCGTGCAGAGGCACTGGGTGTCGTAGGGAGAACTTTGATCGACGAATGTGGGGATCTCGAAGGCCGTGCCGTCGGGGTCGATGCGGATCCAATGCTGTTTGAGGAAACAGAGGACGCCTTGGAGTGAGTGTGCGTATGATGAATGCTTCGTATGGAGGATACAGAAGACGAGGTGGATTTGCGACCTCGTAGCCCCGTGGAGGATCGTCTGTACGAGCCCCTTGGCGTGATCGGAGACGGAGATAGAGAATTACGATGGCTCGGATAGCCAGTACTCAGCGGCCGGGGTTGTCGCGGATATGAATGACGATTGTTGGAGTAGGAGGCGCTGCTTGGCGCAAGGCTACTGGCGTTGGATGCGCGCTTGATTTGCGTTGGAGTCGCCAGATCGCCTGCAGGAGGGATATTCGGTGAGGTTGGCGCTGGTTTCTTCCCAGCTTCTTGCCCTTTCCCTGGGCTCAGTCTGTCGGAGAAGAACTTGCGATGCCCTCCCCCCGCTGATTTAGGATGAGGAGACTTTGCCCTTTTGGCAGATTCCATTAACCAATGTTTCAGCGATGCGAGCTGACTGATGATCGGGTATTGACGGCGTCCAGTTCGACGCCTGAGGATACCATTGTGCTGTGCCAACTCCGGCTGCGACGCACTAGCATGCAGTGTGCTTGGCCGTCGCGTATTATCTTTTGGAGGGGGTACTGGCCGACGTCTTGTTGAGCTGCCAGATCGGACCGAGTCCTTGTCAATAGGTGGAGGAGGCGGTGGTGGCACCGGGGTGGTCAAATCCAGGGGCTGCAGAGGAACCGGCTCAGGGAGCATTGGCAACTCCGGGACAGCGAGCTGAGAGGGAAGACTGCGCCTGTCCCTTCTTCCTCGTTCCTGAAGCAATGTGCCCGGAGACGCATGTCCTTCCTCATCCACTTCAAGCAGTGCGGCAGAGATCTTCTCCAAACGGCTACTAGCGGCGCTGAGTCGTCGCAAGTTCTTCGCCTCGGCCTCTCGTTCCCGTCGCTTGCGTTCCCTCCGGACCTCTTTCCGCTGCTCTTTCTCAATTAGGAGAGCCCACCAGCCGGCGAGCGGATCGCATCGTTGAGCAAGGACGCTCTCCATGACCTCGTCGACATTGACTCCTGCACTTTTCATCCGCTGGAGGGTAGTCCTTTCCAAGGGTGTTGAGAAAGGCGCTGGACGAGCGATCTTAAGAATTGCTTGCTGCTCCGGAGCATGCTCTGCGAGAAATGGATGAGCCAGTATATCGGCTAAGCTCGGTCGGATGAGAGGTCGCTTGGACAGGAGTAAGTTGATGAGGGCCTTGGCATCGTCGGGGAATTTATCATTGAAGACTGGCTCTTCGGTGAGAATCCTCTTCTTGGTAACCTGATCGTCGTCTTCGTCGAACGGCAGCTCCCCGGCGAGAAGCGCATAGAGGATGATGCCTAGACTCCATACGTCCACCTTCTCTCCGGCATACTTCTCGCCCTTGAGCATCTCGGGTGCACTATAACATATCGTACCACAGAAAGTCTGTAGGTAGCTTGCCTTGCCCTCATACTCTCGCGTAAAGCCGAAATCACAGAGCTTGACGTTCTCGTGCTTATCGAGGAGGATGTTCTCCAACTTGAGATCGCGATGAACGCATGACCTGCTATGCACGTATGCGACTGCGCCCACTAGCTGCGTGAATATCTTCTTGACTTTGTCGACTGGGAGGGGACCATGGCGGAGAAGGTAGTTGTAGAGTTCATCACCTGCGCATCGTCTTGTCAGCGGTAGCCGACTGCATCACGTTGCAACGTTCCCTACCTGGACAGTATTCGAGTACAAGCCAGACCAGCTTTTCTGTCACTATAACCTCATAGAGACGGGCGATATGCGGGTGGAGGAACTGGCGATGGTGATGAATCTCGCGAGGGAGGTTCGTATCCTCCCTTGGGGAGGACTTGAGCACAACCTATGGACAAATCCGATTAGAATAGTTCTGCCTCTTGTGTCGGCCGCGGGGTGAGTAATACCTTGGAACCATTGGTGAGCTTGTGGGAAGCAAGATAAACCTTGCCAAAGGAGCCTTTCCCAATCAGCCTTCCAAGGGTGTAGTTACCAACGGTTCGAAGGTCCTTCGACGAGAACTCCCTGGAGACGCAGGGTTGATTAGCTTCGTAGGGCTTTGGTAGAGCTTGGGGTATAGAAGTGGCAGCTTACTCCAATAACTCATGGTATGACTTGGCGAGCTATAGTGGCGTGACGCAATCGCCAAAGTTAGCAACTTTCATTTCAACAGCACCATAGGGCGGAAACAAGCAGGATTCCAAACGCAGGGATTTATGAGAGGGAATCATCAGGGCGCACGAGAGACCGCGTAATGACAGGTTTGGCAATAACTACAGCGAGTTGACATGGGTTGGCCCAATAGAGTTTGGATGTGGGGTCTCGTAGAAGATGCGAGCCTTAGGTTGACCGTTTTATGATGCGTCCAAATATCAATGCCTTAAAACGAACCTTTTCCTTTTGTTTCTGGGATTGAACCTCCGCTCTTGTCCTGGCCGACGGCATGTGTTATGAGATCGTCTCCGCCTAATTTGGAGATTCCGCGGAGATGTTGTATGCGCACGATGGGCCGTTGTGACGAAAGACGATCACGATGATGACCGCTTGAGATTGACGTCCAACCTGAGGCGGGACAGAGGAGGAGTGTCGCGATCAACAGGACGAATGGATACGAAGGACGAAGAAGTGTAGCAAGACAAGGAGTTCAACGCGATGGACGGCGGCGCGCAAGATGGCTGGCAGATCGTGAATCGCATAGACGGACCGGGCAAAGTGGAATCGAGATTGTTTAGCAGTTAGGGAATCGGCTAACTCGTTCAAGTCTCCGCAAATGAGTAGAGATAACTCGCAGAGGGATGTAAGAAGGACGCAAAAAATTCCCTTGTCCGAAGCGGAAATTTCGGGCCCAACAGGACGACGAGGAGGTGGAGGAGGATGGACGGAACGGCAGCTGTTTGTGGAAAAGGATCGGAAGGAGGTCGGAAATGACTTGAAGATGAGAAGCTCAGAGATTAATATTAGTAAACAGACCAGAATTTATATTATCAAGATGGAAAGAGAAGAGCTGCTGTATAAAGGCGACAAGAGGGGGAAAATTGGTCAAGAAAGGAGAAGAAGCTAGCAATACATACCTATATCTATTGGATCTGCCGGAGAATAAAATGATGAAACAAGAAGTTCAACGGACAACCTGATTATTCTGCATCAGCTTGGACAATGACTATGACTATTATTATTATGATTTTCTTATCCTTCTGATTATCTAGCCAACAGGGGGACCATCTGGAGGTATGTACCTTATTATTATGACGATGAACAATAACCCAGGGGAAGTGTTATTGTGAAGTGGTTAGTTGTTTTTGAAGGAATCTACAGAGCACCTATGGACATAATTGTCCACTGCATTCAGGCTGTGCGCACAATTTCACAGAAGTCAATTGTCGGACAATCCATTATTATTATTTATTAGAACCAGTGATAGCCAGTAAAAGGACAAACAGACCATGCTGCTATTTGCAGGTGGGAACGTGCGCCGTTTCGACTTTCAGAGTCTTTCGGCATCGACATATCGTCATCAACAACCCAATATCGATCACCCGACGGGTTGACGGCCTCATACACGAGAGTTCCTTACAGGAGCGGTCAGATCTTCACTATACATCTACGTATGTGGTATGGCATGTTATTCCTTGACTAAGTATACTGATATCATCACTGAGTAAGTGGCTCTCAGTGCTACTCGTGTGGTCGATAACGAGCCCCTGGATGGCAGATAGATAAATTAGATGACGACGGCTCTCGGCCGGTCCTAACGGTGGTCTGGTGGATGGCTTAGGCCACTCCCCATTTTCCAGAACACTTCCTAGTCTCTAGACACGGGAAGCGCTCGCTTGCGTCTTGAACTATCGAAGATTAGATTTTATTATTGTTCGAATTATCTAAACTCATTCCTATTCAAAGATAGCTGGGAGCTACGTATCGCTGGGAAGTTTCATGAGATGAAAATCAACGACTTGGGGTATAAATTGGCAAGACTTCCAGCCCACCCTACGACCTTGGATTATACGAACAGCGTGCAATTACAGATATCCATCCACCATAATTTAGAGCATCAATTCGTCTCTTGCCACCAGGGAAGACTTTCCATGTGCCGAGCTGCCCGGTGGCTGGCGCATAATGCAGGATCTACGCTACTCAAGCCCTCTTCTCCTTGAAATGCCAGAGATACCAGCCCAGCAAACGAGTGTAGAAGATCTTGCGTTGACCGTTAGAACAAACCCTTTCTTATATGTCGTAGGAGCCATGAGATCTCACCTGGAGGCTCACCAATGCCTTTCCCAAACCCGCCGATAATGTGCTGTGTCTTCTCGAGCAGATATCGCCGGTTGCGCTGCTGGTCGATAAGAGATAGTCGGTCCATCATCTAGTCCTGTTAGTAGTGTTCAACATCGCGAGATCGGTAAATACTTACTACGAGCGTACCTGCGTTCCAAAGCGAGTAACATGTATCCGCATATTTGTTGCATCGCCCATTGAAACCTGCCCAAAGCAGAGATTCCTCTGTTGGCGGGGGTAGATTAGGAAGCACGGCAATCTTCTCATCGAGAGCGAGGTTGCTTGTATCTCGATGTAAACTATCACTCTGGTCAGGTGAGCCATCATCTTCCTCGTCCGACTCCTCTTCACCCAAATCAGACGTCTGTCTGGAGACGAGCCATTTGAGCAAATGTTCGAATTCCCGGCTCCCGGGAGAAAGGAGCGCCGTGTGTCTCTGCTCTTTTGAAAGACGGCAAAGGAAGGTTAGAGCGCCAATGGCACAATAGGTCAGGCCAGCTGTTTCCAGTCAGAATCAGTCGCTTATGGCAGAGTCCATTGCACGTACAGTGGGATTCACAAAAGGGCGCTTCCGACATTCCCCCGTCATATGTCTATCAGATCCAGGTATCAGCATTCGCAGCCACAACCCAACACCTAAGAGTCTTCGAACCTGGCAAGCCTGAATGAATTCCACAAGCCTGCCCACATTGATATCTCTTACACCCTCAAGGTCTCTCCCGCTCCTCCCTCGAAGAATATATCGCGTCCCAGCTGCGCAGCAGCAGAACCGCAAGTCGCGCCCACCCTTGATCTCCCCCCCGGGGCCGAGCACTTCTCCGAAACTGCCATCCTCACGTTGAAGTTTGGGCAACCATTGAAGACATTCGACCCGCTTCACCCTCGACAGGTCATCGCCCAGTATGAGCAGCAATACCAGCGCAAAGAATGTGGCCGGGACATTCGCCGGGTCCCAAGCTTCGTTCTCCGGAGTGCGCTTGTCAATCCCAAAATCTGTCCCCGTGAACCCGCGGAAACCCCCCGATGGAACCTGGCAGTGATAGAGCCAGTCTATGTAACCTTTTCGTTCTTCGGCGGTGATTTTGCTGTCGAGCGCGCCGAGAATGTCCAGTCCGGAGATCGTGAAGAAAGCGAGGAGCATGCGATTGGAGTCATTGGAGGTGTATTGGTGGGGGAGGAATGTCTTGAGACAGCGGAGGTAGTATTTGATGTGACGTTCCTTATTGAAGACTGCCTCCGTCATGTTGCCGGACTTGACAATGTTGCATCTGCTTGCCACGTCAGATCAAGCGTAAAACCAAGAACAAGCGAAGGCGTGAGTTCCTCGAGTCCGTGGCTCTGGATTGCGCTTCATTGTTATCATTATTCTTTTGCGGGCGGCCTCCCGGACTTAACAGCGGCAACCCCACAAGATGGATCCAGACATCGGAGGAAAAATGTGGTGGAGCTACAAAGTCAAGAATATGTACGATAGCATCGACTGAGCTCAGATTTATTCGCAGCTACTGCTGTGACTTGTATATAGAATATTATTCTTTTTATCTCTATACCTTCATCTAACATGGCTCTTCTCTCCTCCAAGACGCTCATCCAGGCACACGCCCTGTTTCTGTTTGTTCTGGCCGTGTACCTGACCAGATCTCCAAGCACAATCACCGACTCAGACGTTGTCTTTATGATAGGAGAAGTCCTACAGATCGTACGTCGAAGATTCTCCAATCCCGTTTTATCCCGGATCCTGCTTCAATAAAACTGACAGAATTGTTGCGACAGGATGCAGCCCCGTCCTTCTCCCGTCCTCAATCCCCCTTCGCCCTATGCGGCATCCTCCTCATCGCCGACGCCCTCGTCGACCTGATCATCGTCGCAAAAATCCCCCGGGTCAACGAGCTCGTCGCCATGGTCCAAGCGGCCAGGAGCCAATCTGCCACACCCATGTCCAGCGCGTTGCAAAACCCCTTCGCGGCGCGCCTCGCCGCCCTCTACTCGGAGATCTGGACTTTGCTTTCGGCAGCGCGGTTCTGTCTGTTCTTTGCTGTCTCGTTCTTTATATACCAGAGTAAACCGGATGCTTGGGGGGTGGGTGCAGGTGCCGCGCGCACGACAGGCGGGTATGGGTCGGTAGAGGCGACGTCGGGCTTGGACCAGCTGAAGAATAGGGTTGTATTTACGTATGGGTTTATGGAGATGATGTTCTGGCTTTGGGTAAGTCTTCTCCGCCTGCTGGCCACGCTGATTGTGGAAGCCTTCATTGAGTTGTGCTGATCCGTGGTAGATTTTCATCACGCTCCGCGAAGAGCGGCAGGAAATAGCTGCTCGTTTCGCGGAACGAGAAGAATAGACGGTATTCTGTTGTTTGGTTGATGCGCATTGGGTCAGGCGTTGCACATAATTCAGAGATCACCATATACTGCAGAATGACGAATTCTTTGATTGCCCAGCAATTATGATACATTACAGCGAAAACTCCTGTTCGGGACTATTAAGCTAGCATATGCGTTCAAAGCAGAACAGATCTCCTCAAGATCCTATTTAAGTCACAAGACAAGTTGAAGCTTTGCGGAAGTTGGGTCACAATATGAGCACTTGTTGCCATACGCACTTGTTTCCCCCATAAACCGTTCAGCTTGTGTTTGTATTTCGTCAAGAATGACAAACAGTCCAGCCATGACGCAAACTCCATGACCCCTAAGCGAGCAAGCCGAAAGCCGCAAGCGCCGCACCGGCAAGCGCAATGAGACCAATGTCCTTGTGCTGAGCGACGGCGGCCCCGGTACTGGTGTTGGTGGCCGAAGCAGCAGACGAGGTCGCGGAGCCAGTAGTAGAAGTGGTAGAAGTGGTTGCAGTGGTCGCAGTTGCAGCGGTCTGGGAGGCATTGGACTCGGTGGAAGAACCAGAAGTGGTTGTAGAGGATCCAGAGGCCGTGCCAGTGGTAGATTGAGTTGTGTTTGCGCAGCTGGGAGACTGAGGCATGTTGGTCACACCGGCGGTTCTGCATATCCGGCTCGCAAACTCGACGGCGGCTGTGGGAAAGAATGGGTGAGCGTCTTCTGTAGTGTATTGTAGAGGAGAATCAAGGGTCATGTGTAGGCGTGCAGAGTGCCGAGAACAGCAAGAACGAGAACTTACCCTGCTGCTGGTCCGGAGCGCATGATTGGAGAACGCAGCACGAAATACCCGAAATGAAGGACGAGTCGGTGCAGATGCACTTCACGTCAAAACCGCAGCTGGCGGGGATGGAATTCGTAGCGCATGATTTCTATCTCAGGACATCAGTAATGTGTACCAATCAGTCTGCACCGAAGAAACAATTCTGTAGCATTGTGAACACATAAATGAGAGGTAACACGTACAGCACAATCTGGCAGACCGTCGAGGCCCTGGGCAGCTGCCATGCTCAGGCATGCCGCAAGAGCAAGGGAGACAGAGAAAAGCTTCATTATGAGGGTTTGGCTAAGATGCTCGATTGATCGAAATCGTGCTAGAAATGTAGGATCATGTACCTCAGGATGGGCTTAAGAGTAAGATCTGTTGGGAGAAGATGAAGGCGTAGAAGCGCGGGTGAGGGGACAAGGTCAGAAAGAGTGGAAACAAGATGGAGTGGGTGGTAACTGGCGCGACGATTCTTGCAGTAGGGTGATGAATGTACAGCCTATCTAGTATGCAGCGAATAATAACCATGCCTGGGAAGGGATGTGTGGTACCTCTCTGATGGTTAGTTTATTTTCTAGTTTCTTCCAGTTTTCCATTGCTTTCCCCACTTCAGGTGCGATTGATTAAGCCTTCACAGTCGAATTGAACTACTACTAGATAATAACTGTTCTAGATCTAGACTCCTTGTTGCTATTCATGTTATCCTTATGGTTGTTAATCTGCAACAATTAAGTCCTAGGCCGAAGTGGGTATGTAGCTTTCGCATACTTTCTGTTGCTTCTCCGAAGGATCATTTATGGCGCTGGAACATGGTTTCTACAGTACCTTACATGTATGAGACAGGGGCCAGCTCTCTGTGAGAGGATTTACTGGCAGATTGATTGCCAATATCAGCCTATGATGAGAAACCACACTCAGAATCCTGTAAAAGTACTCCGTACTCCCTGAGTCTTCCAATGTTATGACTCCATCCTCCTGCACTGGAACCCTGGCTCGTCATGGTTATTATGAACTAGTCCCTCAGCTCGACTCCACCGGCCGCCTATTTTGCTCCAAACTCTGGCCCATCCCCGGATTCTACTTGGCCATCAGCCTATCAAGAGAGCCGTGGAATCACACTCCCTGGAGCCACCAAGCCCGAGGTTTCTCCCTCTCCCAGACTACCCAAGTTGCTCCACCAAAACTGTCACCAGTCTCAGACCCTTTCCCCTCCGCCCTTGACCATCTGATGAGGAAACATTCGATAGACTACCAGATTCTTATAGCAACTCTTGGCAAAGGATGCAATGAATTGCTATCATCATCTTGTCAAGGCTCACGTCAAATGTCTTTAGGCTCCATTGCTTTGCTTTACAGTCCACACTACCCTTTCTGATGGTCATCGCTGAGCTCATAACTGCAAGGGGTCCATTTCTGTTCTTCACTCAACATGTAACTGAGTATCCCAGCGTACCTTACATTGAACATCTGTCCACGGATCAGTCGGTACGGAGTATTTTGGCTTCCTGCAAAGGAATGCTGCGCCATCTCCCGAAAGGCACTGATCCATGACCTCTGGGAAGGGTATATAGAGTGCAGTGGCGTAGAGACCTAGGCGCTGGGTATCAAATATCAAATTAATAGAAACAATAAGTTACAGCACAAACAAGCAGGCAATACTGCAGTTGTTGGTCACTATGGTTGGGCAAAGAAAGTCTGTATCAAGTGATCCTGCGCAAGCTCTGTAAACAGCCGCGACCACAAATTCAGTCCCTCATGCTCCTGCTGATCGACACTGCAGAGGATTCCCTGGCGCTTTGCTTCTTGAAGGATCAATAATTCATAAATGCAGCCTTATCCTGTGACGTAGAACGCGTCACACTCGCAATTTTAGGATAGACAGCTTAGGCTTTGACTCTCGCCTCGGCAGAAATTTCGCATTTGTTAACCGCACTCCTTATTCTACAATTTCAGTCAATACTATAATGCGTATCACAACGACTGTTGGTCGCTGATTCAAGCCTCTAGCCTGGCACAAACCCGTGTTACCTCCGTAATAATATCAACCTATTTGTTCGCCCCGCCACAAGCCAGTGAGCATTGCTTTGATTGAGATACCTTCCGCCCCTCACTCCCTATCAGTATGGGTCTAGGTGTGCTCGAGGACAAGGTACTCGACCATGTCCCTGGTAAGTTCCGTTCTCTGATCTACATCTTTACAGGAATACTTGTACAATCGGAACCACCATTTCTGATACATTCGGCTAGGCACATCCTATATCCTCGAAGATGAAAGGAATGATCATACCGCCCTCGATTCGCGCCTCAAGTACGATCGCTCAGGCGACGTTCCTATACTTCTAGTACCACAGCCAAGCGATGACCCGAACGATCCTCTGGTAAGTAGAAAAAGGTACGATTGGCAAAGCTCGATACTGAAAATCGCCGCTAGAATTGGCCGTTATGGTGGCGCGATGTAATCTTATTCGCGCTTTGCTTCGTTTCAGTCCTCTGTGCAACAACCAGCTCGCTCATGGCCGCCAACACTGTGACCATTGCTCTTCACTATGGGAAGAGTTTCACGTCCGTTGCTCTCCTCACTGGCTACCACCTCTGTGGTGTGGGTGTCGCTGGTGTGCTAATCGTACCGACTGCACGAGTGTGGGGCAAGCGACATCTTTTCATCCTGGGAAATATTCTGATGGTCGTGAGCTGCGCATGGGCTGGGGGCAGCGGCCAGAATTATCAGAGCCTTCTCTGGGCCCGGATCATCCAAGGAGTCGCGTTGGCTCCATTCGAAGCTTTGACGAATGCCTGTGTTGGTGATTTATTCTTTGTCCATGTAGGTTCCATCTGCGCTACCTCACGGATCTCATCTGACGATTACGCCAGGAACGGGGCAAGCGGATGGCCTTATCGAATGTTGCCGTCTTCGGCGCTGCCTTCCTCACACCGGTTTTGGCTGGCAAGATCACACACTCGCTTAGTTGGCAATGGACGTTTTACCTACTGGCGATCTTTACCGCTGCTTGTCTGCCCATGACATTCTTCCTAATACCCGAGACGGCTTTCAGACGCGCCGACCATTTCAACACAGACTTTGAGCATGTCGACGACCGCCTTGATGGAAGCCACTCACATACACAACTGCAGCCCACCGGATATGCGACTTCTGAAGTGAGCCAGATCTCTGGAGAGCAGAAGCAATCCGTACCTGGGACCAACGAGAAGCCGCAAGGAGAGTCCTCTCGAGGAGAAGATGGCGCCGGTCAGGAACCTACGATTCCTCGCAAGGCGACGTACTGGGAAACTCTCAAGCTATTCAATGGACGGAAAACAGACGAGGACTTTTTCAAATTGCTGTTGAGACCATTTCCCCTATTCTTCCATCCTGGCATCCTCTGGGTAAGTCCTCTCTTCGCCCACAATACATATGTGACAACTATTTCTGACTGCCACAGGCTTGCTTGATACAAGGCGTTATCATTGGTTGGACTGTCTTCATCGGTGTTGTCCTGGCTGCCATCTTCCTTGGACCTCCTCTATGGTTCAACGAGGTGCAGACAGGATACCTCTACACAGGCGCCTTCATCGGCTCTATCTTAGGCCTGATACTGTCTGGCATCCTGTCAGATTCGTTGAACAAGGTCATGATAAAACTCAACAAAGGCAAATACGAACCCGAGTTCCGTATTTTGCTAGTTATCTTCCAACTGATCTTCAGCGGCGCTGGTCTCTACGGGTTTGGGATTGTGGCAGACGACGTGGACCGATATGGATGGCTTGTGCCGGACGTCTTCTTTGCTTTTGTCATCATAGGAATGGTCATGGGTGCCGTCGCGAGCGCCTTGTACATTGTCGATGCACACCGTGAGTTGAAACCTTCTTCCATACGACAAAGCCTGCGGAAACTGTTGCTGATGATGTTTGATACAGGCCAAATCGCCGTTGAAGCGTTTACGTGCTTATTGATCTTCAAGAACATATTCAGTTTCGTTCTGACTTTTTTCGCATATGACTGGCTCATAAGAAATGGGATCAGACCGGCATTCCTAGCTATCTCCAGTATCCAGGTGGGCGTTTGTCTCTTGAGCATTCCCATGTGTGAGTATTCCTTTCGAGCTACTCGAAGCTTTTGCATCTGCAGCTAACTAGGCCACTCAGATATTTTCGGGAAACGAAATCGGTCATTCTTCACGCGTTATAACATTTTGAAGAAGCTGCATCTCTGGTAAACCTTGGCGGATTATTTACGATAGAACGGGAGTAATGCCTGCGCGATGTCGTTTTATAACACCTAATGAGTCGCCATGTGCGCGCACTACACTAATTTTAATCTCTCAATCTGAAGCCCTGTTACGAGTATTATTAGCATCTCTGGGTCATGTGTAAGATAAGCACTCGAACGAAAAGCGGCGTGCATCCGAATCTATGCTTCAATCGAGCGGATTCGCTTGTGACATCGACGTAGATCAGACTGGTAAGTCGGGGAACCGCCAAAAATGAAAAATAGTGGAGACGATCCATCTGCAGGGACGGTTATCTTAGATATAGAATAATAGAACACTAGTGAGATCTTCGTCATGGTTGAAAACGGAAGAGGGCCGAGACAGGAATGTGAACGTGGGATGGAAGCATCATGACTCGACCGCGAGAGACCGTCGACACAACCAGCCTGGGCTGAAGAGAGTGTAATACTCTGAGCTCTGTTGTTCTTCTCTTTCTAACTTCATCGCAATTCGAATTCAATTATCACGTCGACATCATGACATCAGCGACGTGAGATATCGACGAAGCTCAATGCTTGATCGATGATCGTTGAGAGGTAACATCCGTGGATTTGCCCTCTGCAACCGACGTCACAGACGACACACACTCGTTTCTCGACTCTCTTCCCTTAAGCTTCCGGCTGGTTCATCCCACTGGTCGTCACCACTATTAGCTCCTTTTTTTCATCATCTTCTTCCCTCCCTTCTTTCTTTTCCTTTGACTTGCTTCCATCGGGAATGCCTGTATCCGCCGTCCTTTCATACTCCCCGCATCACGGCGCAGACCTTATCTTATCATGGCTACTACTGAGTCTCATCCTGGAGTCCATAGCGTCTCCATCCAGCGTTCCCGGTCTGCCCGGCTAGCTGATCAAGGTAAGTCCTGGATGAATATCTTGCACTTTCGTTTGACGAAGAATTATTCCGTTGACTCGATTATTCGGCAGCTGCGACAGCTGCACTCTATGTGACGCACCCCGAGCGTAGACTGTCCGTTCGGGAACCCGCTACCTTTGAATCGCAACTGTTCAGTGAGGAATAACCGCCGGAACCCCGGAGATAATTTAGAACTGTTACTGACGCCATAAATTTCGTATGACAGGAGATCCGAAAGCGACGGGCTCGCTCAACCTCAGCCATGCATCAGCGAGCGCTGCTCTTGCCCACGCGAGGAGTCATCACAAAAACTTAACAACTGACAGGCCCGGCGCAGTAGGATATCAGACCCAGGACACACGAACTGCTGAGGCTCCCGTGGCTCGACCCAGCCCGGAAGGGTACAAAGCCGCCATTACCGCAGTTAGAGACCGGAGAGCCATCACGAGTCTTCCTCCGGTGACCACTGGCTTTAAATATGACATCTCGACGACATCCGACCAGGTCTATGATATCCAGCGGGAGAGCTTGGACAGGGACAAGGCACTTCGTGCCGCTACCGGCGCGTACCGACTCAGCAGGAAGAGGGCCGACTCCGCACCCAGCAAACCTACAATGGCTCGTGAAGCGCCTTATGCGGCTTCAGCGGCTGGCAGTGTGAAGCCTGCGCCGGAAGTGGAAGACCCACTTGCACATATTGACAGCTCGATGGAAGCCAGCAGGATTCATCACATGGCTAATGCCAACGCGCAACTTTACACTGAGCACCCTCCTATTGGTCTCGAGGAGCAAGACCGAAAGGACGTGCTTCGAGCTGCTGCTATCTCGATGGCGCGCGATATGTACGATATTACGGAGAAAAGAGAGGAAGTACCGACCGGAGAGCCTAGCGCAGCCCTCTACGGTGCTCAGCGAGGCCTCAGCCGCATGCGCTCCCAGCGAGCCGTTCCCAAGTCCGATCCAGCGGCCCTTAAGCAGGCTATCAAAGTGCAAGAAGCGGCTCAACAGCGGGCTGCGGAGAAATTGGCTAAACTCAATGAACCAACTTATCAGGAGTATTATGGGGTTGAACCGCATGTTCCGCGGCCCACCCTGTCTATCCGTCGCAGGAGAGCGTCCTTCGACTCGGACACATCAGCTGCTGATGCCGAGCGATCAAGGGAGATCAGGCACCAGATGTCCAGCCTTCGATCGCGACTCGATGCTGTAGATGAACAAAGAACGAAAGACCGTGCCAGCTTGATGGAGGCCGCAAGGCGAAACGTCAATGCGACCATCCAAGATATGGAGATGCGTGTCTACCACGAAACAGGCCGGCCTCCGCCATCGATGCAGAAAGAATGGGAGGAGGCCGCTCATGAGCGGGCACAACGCGAGGTCCAGGAACAAGAACCCTACAGACCATACGACAAAGTCAATATTGGCGCTGAAAGATACATGGATATGGCCGACGTGGAGGCGGTCGCCCGTTCGAGGCTTCAGCCAACCTTCGATGAGATTACGGATCGTGCCGAGAAGGAGAGGGCCAGGGAATTGGAAGCTCGTTTGGATGCCGAAGAAAGGGAGCGATATGAGGCCATTGCGCGTGAGCGGGAGCGTGAAACGAGGGCTGAGGAGAAACGCCAGCTAGGTATGTTGAGCCGCTTGAATTCTTGACTTCAGACAAGCTCATACAGAGGCAGAGATTCAAAAGCGGCAGATGAAGGAGAAGACTACAGGAGAAAAGACATGGCCCTGGAGAAGGAAGTCGAAGCGAACGCAAGACACTGAACAAAAGCCTTCGGCTGAGGAAGAGACTGATTATCGCGGCCCCGGTGTAGTGGCACCTGCACCCGCACCTCAGCCTGAAGCTGCACCTCAGCCCACCACTCCTCCGGTTGAGGCTGCATCTCAGGTGGAAGCTGCGCCTGCGGCTGAAGCTCCCCAGGCTGAAGCTCCCCAGGCTGAAGCTCCCCAGGCTGAAGCTCCCCAGGCTGAAGCTCCCCAGGCCGAAGCTCCCCAGGCCGAAGCTCCTCAGGTTGAAGCCCCCAAGGCCGAAGCTCCCCAAGCGGAACCTGCTACGACTGAGGCCGCTACCCAAGCCGAGGCGCATCCCGTAGCGCCACCTGCCATTATCGATACTGTACAACCCCAGCCTGCTGAAGATGAAGCGAATATTGTCGCGCCAGGGACTGCCGGAGAGGAAGAACATCGGCTTGAGCGACGGGGATCCAGACTTAAAACTTGGTTCAAAGGCCGGGTGGGTCGCCGATCTAATGGCGCGGAACGTGAGTCTCTACGAGAGGTAGAAGGCGAGGGAGCAAGAACCGCAAACACAGGGTTCGCCGGAGGTGCGGCGCTGGCGGGGACAGATTCACGCGGTGCGGCACTCGGATCTCATCCTGTCACAGGCAATGATCTTGCCACAATGCAGCAGAGAATGTCAGTTGACGAAGGCAGTCTAGGAAACGACGCCACGCGGCGTGGCTCAAGCGGCATAGCTGAGCAGAATGGTGAGAACAGGAAGCCATCACGCCTGAGATCCAGCTTCATGAAGATTGTCTCTGGCGGTTCCCAGGATAACAAGACTAACGGTGTATCGAAGCCGAGTGACGATCATCGGACCGCTTCAGAACCTGCAGAGAGTGGCGTTCGCAACCCTGAAGGCTCCAACGCATCCACCGCCACAAAAGAAGAACTGCGAGAGAGCGCCGCTGACCACGGGCTGCCTGTGCCCCCAGCCATTGGCAAGCATGCCACCAACGGTAGTCGTGAGTCACGGTTCTCCGAGGACTTGTGATACAATCTGCCTTTGTGCACTAATATGTAACACCTTTTTTGCCTTCTTGTCTCTGTATTGGCCGAGCTTTGGGTCTTTCCTTTCTATACCTCGTGTCTTCTCCTTGGGAGTTTTATTGGGAGGAATGTTATCGGGGCGTCGTGGTCTGTGGTTATGGGGGCGGAAATTTGGGGACTAATTGGGGTTCAAAGGTTTCTGGCGCAATCTGTTCTAGTGACTTTAGTTATTGGTACATATTTCATGAAATTTCAATCATATTTCTGTTACATGGGTGTCGTTTCTGTCAGAGTTTGAAGAAATTGACAACCGTCGAAGCTCATGGCGAGATCAGAATCATTCTATCGCCTTCCTTTCGATTGAAACGGCTTTACTTCATTCAACCTTCGGCATTAATCGAGACGAATAGACGAGAGAAATACCGAGTCGGAAATAGCAGTCAGACTCATTTCATGAGATCTCCCATTGTCCAAATGTCTCATTCCCCCACAATTTCTCTCCGAGACTTCTTCCTCTCGGCTCTCCCCCCGCATTTCATAGATTAAGTCCTACCCAAGACAACCATCACCACCAATCGCACTCGTCCGTCGATCTTCCCCTGCTTTCGTCGGGGAAAAGGATCATGCATGCTTCTTAGCTGCATCTGGTCGTCGACTGTTCAATTATGAACATCCACCAATCCCTACGCAGCACCGGAGTAACACTGTCGCGAAAACCCGAACATGGTCGTCGCGTTATTCAGTCAATGCCGACCTTTTTATTGTCGCGGATCCTGTCGCACATTTTGCAGCTATGGACAAGGATAGTAGTCTCGACTGCACCCTGGCGCAATTGGCGAGGCGAATATGCGTATCTTTAGCTTCCTGTTTCTGCTCCTCCTGGGGATCCTGACGGGCCAGGGTTTGGTGTCAGGGACGGATAATGGCAAGACTACCGACGTGACATGGGACAAGTACAGTCTGTCCGTCAAGGGGCAGCGATTGTTTGTCTTCTCGGGTGAATTTCACTACCAGAGACTTCCTGTGCCGGAGCTGTGGTTGGATGTCTTTCAGAAATTGCGGGCCAATGGCTTCAATGCCATCTCAGGTATGACGTGTCTTATCCTGCATTATGCTTGGGTGAGCCCGACAGGGAACTAAAAGGGCGGGGGTAGTGTACTTCTTTTGGAGCTTCCACAGCGCCTCGGAGGGCGAATTCGACTTTGAAAATGGAGCCCATGACATCCAGCGGTTGTTCGATTATGCCAAAGAAGCGGGTTTGTATGTGATTGCAAGAGCCGGCCCGTACTGCAACGCAGAGACCTCCGCTGGTGGGTTTGCCCTTTGGGCGGCTAACGGCCAGATGGGGAATGAGCGGACGAGCGACGAGGCATACTACGAAAAATGGCGGCCGTGGATATTGGAGGTCGGCAAGATCATTGCGAAGAACCAGATCACCAACGGTGGGCCTGTGATTCTCAATCAACACGAGAATGAGCTCACAGAGACGACGTACGATCCGAACCATACCCTGGTTGTCTACATGAAACAGATTGCGCAGGTGTTTGAGGAAGCTGGGATTGTTGTTCCAAGCTCTCACAATGAGAAGGGCATGCGAGGCGTCAGCTGGTCGACAGACTACCACAACGTAGGGGGTGCAGTCAATATATATGGCTTGGACTCGTACCCTGGTGGTCTCTCGTGCACGAATCCCAACTCTGGTTTCAGACTCGTCCGGACATACTATCAATGGTTCCAGAACTACTCCTCCACGCAACCGAGTTATATGCCCGAGTTCGAGGGTGGGTGGTTCCAGCCTTGGGGTGGATCTTTCTATGACACCTGCGCTACGGAGCTGTCGCCGGAGTTCCCAGATGTCTACTACAAGAACAACATCGGCTCTCGGGTGACATTGCATAGCATCTACATGACGTACGGCGGGACCAACTGGGGCCACAGCGCCGCTCCAGTCGTGTACACTTCCTACGACTATGCCGCTCCTCTCCGCGAGACTCGAGAGATTCGCGACAAGTTGAAACAAACCAAACTTATTGGCCTCTTCACTCGTGTGTCGACAGACCTTTTGAAGACCTATATGGAAGGTAATGGTACTGGTTACACTAGCGACAGTAGCATCTACACCTGGTCGCTTAGGAATCCCGACACAAACGCCGGATTCTATGTGCTTGCACACAGCACCAGCTCAGCTCGCGATGTGACTACCTTTTCCCTCAACGCCACCACCTCTGCCGGTATGGCGCTCGCGTGCAGTTTCTTCCTGACTTGTTGCTAACCGGACCTAGGTGCCATCTCCATCCCGGATATCGAGCTCAATGGTCGCCAGAGCAAGATTATAGTGACCGACTACAATTTCGGGACCAACTCGACTCTCCTGTTTTCATCCGCTGAAGTCCTGACATACGCCAACCTCGATGTAAATGTCCTTGTCTTCTACTTAAATGTCGGCCAGAAGGGGACCTTCGCGCTCAAGGATGAACCGAAGCTCGCCTTCCAAACATACGGCAATAGCAACGTCACTACCTCGGAGTCCAGCTACGGTACGCAGTATTCCTACACGCAGGGAGAGGGTGTCACTGCCGTGAAGTTCTCCAACGGTGTGCTGGCCTACCTTCTTGACAAAGAGTCTGCCTGGAATTTCTTTGCGCCTCCGACCACGTCAAGCCCGCAGGTCGCCCCCAACGAGCACATACTGGTACAAGGACCGTACCTTGTTCGCGGGGCTTCCATCAACCACGGTACCGTGGAGATCACTGGTGACAACGCAAACACCACATCTATTGAGTGAGTAAACTGAACGGTTGCGGCTCCTTTGTCATGAGAGACACTGACCGTAAGACAGAGTGTACACTGGTAACTCCCAGGTCAAGAAAGTCAAGTGGAATGGGAAGACAATCGAGACCAGAAAGACTGCGTACGGAAGTCTGATCGGAACTGTACCTGGAGCGGAAGATGTGAAGATTCGACTTCCTTCGTTGGACTCCTGGAAGGCCCAAGACACTCTTCCGGAGATCCAGCCGGATTACGACGATTCCACATGGACTGTTTGCAACAAGACCACCTCAGTAAATGCGATTGCTCCGCTTTCTCTCCCCGTTCTCTACTCCGGTGACTACGGCTACCATGCGGGCACCAAGGTCTACCGTGGTCGTTTCGACGGACGCAACGTGACCGGCGCGAATGTGACTGTGCAGAACGGCGCAGCCGCTGGGTGGGCAGCGTGGGTGAACGGGCAGTATGCTGGCGGATCCGCGGGCAGCCCTAGCCTTGCTGCGACGTCGGCTGTCCTCACTTTCAACGGCTTGTCACTCAAGGATCGTGACAACGTCTTAACGGTGGTCACGGATTATACCGGCCATGATCAGAACAGCGTGAGGCCAAAGGGAACACAAAATCCGCGGGGGATCCTGGGCGCCACCTTGACTGGAGGGGGCAACTTTACATCTTGGCGCATTCAAGGTAACGCAGGCGGCGAGAAGAACATTGACCCCGTCCGTGGCCCGATGAACGAGGGCGGCCTGTATGGTGAGCGCATGGGCTGGCATCTGCCCGGGTACAAGGTACCCAAATCCGCGTCGAAGAGCAGCCCTCTAGACGGGGTATCCGGAGCCGAGGGTCGTTTCTACACCACCACGTTCAAGCTGAAGCTCGATAAAGATCTGGACGTCCCCATCGGACTCCAGCTAGGCGCCCCCGAAGGCACAAAAGCGGTGGTCCAGGTCTTCATGAACGGATATCAGTTTGGCCATTACCTCCCCCACACCGGACCGCAGAGTCTCTTCCCCTTCCCGCCAGGTGTGATCAACAACCGCGGGGAGAACACGCTGGCGATCAGCATGTGGGCATTGACTGATGCGGGTGCGAAGCTGGACAAGGTGGAGCTGGTGGCGTATGGAAAGTACCGGAGTGGGTTCGATTTCAATCAGGACTGGGGCTATCTGCAGCCGGGCTGGAAAGACCGAAGCCAGTATGCATGAGGGCCGCTGTCAAGTTAGTACCACTTTTGGGCATGGTTTGCCGCAGTCTGGCCCAAGACTTAGAGCGAGGAGTTATACATATTCGTGAAAGTAGACAGTCATGAAGACAAAGAAGCGGAATTAAATGAATTCGACTCCATATCCAGCGATCCAGCCGGAGTAGAAGCCGTCGGGCCGTGACTAGTGCCATTTTTCCTGGCTTTTCCTCTCCACCGCCAGTTTGAGGGGATCCGCATAGTATGCTTAATCCTGACTCCTCTGTCCAATCAATCCATCGTCTGTCTGTCTGTCTGTCTGTCTGTCCGGCTGTCTTGTATCTCCTTCATCCTGATCCTTATCCTCATCCTCGTCTCGCCCTCGTCTTCATCTTCGTTCACATCTTCATCTCCTCAGTTTGTCGTTTTTCTGCGACCTAATTCCGTCAGTTTATTGCTTCATCGATCCATCTTTGTTATGGACATTGTATAAAGTGTTAAAGACTGTAGCCCGTCTAGCACTACGATAACAAACCGACTTATTGTCTTGAACCTCGCTTCCGCTGGCTGATCCTGATTGATGGGTTAACCAACTCACTTCTTGGATTTTGTTCTCGTTTCCTCTATGATACCCATATTCGTTCACCCTTTTCAATAAGTTGAGCTTCCCCTTTCCCTTTATCCATCATCTCAGCAGTCGCCATGGCCACCAATCTCCCCCGCCAATCCAGCGTCGATCTAGACTCGGCGGATCGGCCCTTTGATAATATCATCAACTTTCGCGATGTCGGACGGTCGATCAATCAATTGATGGGATCGCGGTATGTCTGGCCTTACCTCGTTATCAATTGCATTTGCTGACGGTGTATGGCATGGTACAGCATCCTAAAAGAAGGTGTCCTTTTCCGAAGTGCAAGGGTGCGCATAAGACTTAGGATCTACTGTCAGTGACCATTGCTAACAAACAGCAGCTAGACGATGCCTCAGAACGAGATAGACGGCGGCTAGCGGAAGAGCTACACATTTCGACCGTTCTGGATCTGAGATCGATGTATGGATGGCAAAGCGGTGTCATAGATGCATACCGATACCGATACTGATGCTGATGCTGATGCTGACGCTGACAGGACCGAACACCAAATGGCCACTCGCAAATGTCGCGGCGAGGATGCTCTCGACCCAGAACAACCATCTCTTCCTCCTTCGGAGGCAAACGAGCATCTCATGGAGATCCCCGGTGTGCATCGCTCCCTGATCAGTCTAACAGGCAGAGCATTCGAACGCGCCCTACTATGGCGCTTGGACTGGTATAACCTCATGTATGCTCCCGGCCCCGCCTCTGCCACCTGGTGTGCAATGTACAGCTATTGATGTCTATAGACGAGTCCTCACCCTCGTAGCCTCGGGCTACCGCACCGAAGCGGTGACAATCGTAGGCCAGCAGGCCATGGCGCCGCGGGGCCTGATCGGGCTCGGCCAGGACACGCTGGACAGCAGCACGGCGGAGGTGCGCGAGATCTTCGAGCTGCTCGTGTCGCCGGCGGCGTACCCGGTCCTCGTGCACTGCACGCAGGGCAAGGACCGCACGGGTCTGATTGTGCTTCTGCTGCTGCTCCTTCTGCCGGAGGTCTCGGCGGATGCGATCGCGGCGGACTACGTCAAGTCGGAGCCGGAGCTGGTCGTTGAGTTCGAGGAGCGCATGAAGGAGATCCGCGTGCTGGGCTTGGATGAGGAGTATACGAAATGTCCGCCGGGGTTTACGCAGCAGATCCGGGCGCATCTGGATGCGAAATACGGCGGCGTTGAAGGGTATCTTTTGTCTGTTGGGATTGATCGCGAGAAACAGGCGTTGATCAGGCAGCGGTTGCTCGCGTAGTTTTCGGTTTTCTTCAATTCTTCTATCTGATGATGGATGTACATTTAGCTGGGATACGATATTTGTAATTACGGGCGGATACATGCATGGACTCTAGATTTAGCAACTTCAGACAAATGAGCAATTATATAATATAATTAAGGCGTTGTATACCCATGTATCAGCAACCATTATGGACAAGGTATCTTTATCTAGCACATCCAATGCAGTGTTGTACAATCAGCAGCATATCAAATCAAATAAAATGAGAAAAAGGCTACCATCAAAGTGTATCGTGTTTATCGTCAAGAACGCCGGTTTCAGTAACCGGTAGAACGCTGCCCGCGGTAGAAGTTGGCGTTGGGCCCGGTAGAATCCCTCGTCAGGGGCTCCTCAACCACGTAGCCTCCACTGGCCCCGTTGCGATGAGGATGAGGAGCATTGGGCCCCTCGTGGGCCATTTCGAGGCGCTTTTCGCCCTGAGGGATGTGGCGACGTGTTCGCACAGAGGGTAGAAGATCGACCACAAAGGAGAGGATATACCCGGTGAAAACGAAAGCAATAACTGCAGATATTAGCACCGAGAATAATCGAGACAGGAATTCAGAACATACCCCATTCCAAGACAGCGGCCACATTTTTCTTGCCAGAGTTACGGCGAGTGCAGATACCAAACGCAATGGCTAGTGCGACTTCGATGATCACAAACGCGAGTTTGATCAGAAAGCTCGCGAATAAGATGCGATGCTGCGAGCGATAGAAGATCCCCAGCCACAGATACTCGATGCAGATGAGCACCGCACTGACCAGGTATCCGACACTAAAGTAATCAGTAATTTATTTCTCCAAACCGCAAAGATGCCGCTTACAGGAACATGAGCAGGAATCCATTGTGATAATGCGAATGATGCAGCGTATCGTAGCACGCGAGTAGGATCAATCCCAGTGCGCCGGCGACCGCGAAGAATATCGAAGCGACAGCGCAGAACTTGTCAAACCAGCCCCTGTTCGGCACCAACTGCCCGGAGTGTCGCAGCCATCGTTCAGAAACGAAGGACAAATCCAGAAAGACAACGGTGATGACGCTGCCTGTGATGAACAGAGGTTTCAACCCCTGCGCTCCAATGTCAGATATATATCTATCGTCCTTTGTCAGCGTCAAATGAACTGCATGCGCAAGCGAGGACGAAATGACGACATACGCAATGGTTTGTCCGGCTTCCATACTGGGGTAGATAGGTGTCCCAAGTACAGCCCAGTTTCCCAGCATCGCAAGCAGCATGGCTACACAATACCGTCAAGTTAGCATCTATTTGACCGGTTCCGTGGAAAAATTTCCCTACCAAGCCACATGCACGCCGATATCACCGGAAAGATCCAAAATGATATAATCCACATGGCGTTATGCCGATCTTTTATTGGTTGACGGCTTTGTTTCGATCAAGATGTCGACGTCAGCGACACAATTTGAAAATAGGAGTGACAAGTTCGACCTCAAAAGAACGAGCCGCTGTCTGCTATGGCAATACTACGACACATATCAATATGATCAGTTCAAGCCATCCTTCACTTTAAATGAGAATCGGGATCGGGCGCACCGGATACAGCGGATGTGGCTTAGATCAAACTCACAGGATGAGGAAAGCTTGGCTTGACGAATACTTCAGGCAGCAGTAGATGTAATGCGTGGATGACGACAATCACTCCAATTGACTCTATGGCTGTTTGGTCTAGTTCTGTCAGCTGTTTGTGGCTCAGTGGTAATAGAGGATCAAGGGATGGGTGAACAAGGCAGACACTGCGTGGTTCAATTAAGGATGTGTCGATAAACAAATATGGTGATAGCCTAGCAGCCTGAAGCCAAAGGGAAGTTAGAAAGGTAAGGGGAGGAGGGGGGAAAAGCCAACAGAACTGTTCTTGGATACTCTGCACGCCGATCATGAATCCTTTAGCCTTCCTCTTTATAAATAATAATATCCCGAAGGAATCAGTAATGATTTCACCACCCGGTCAGTCCATCGACGTCATCGAGCAGAGCCATTGTCGATCTTCCGGGATGCAACCGAAGGACTAGAAGACTGTGCTGTGTACCTCTCGATTATGCTCTATTATGATCCATTATTGTCATTCACAAAGCAACTCGGGCTCATATTGGTCCTTCTTCTCCCTGGTGTCGACTACCATGTTGTCGAACATCTTGGCTGTGCTCCGTAGATTACTCATTCTTTACGAAGACTGCACAGAATAGGCAGCAAAGTGTCACCTTCGGGTGCGCAGTCTCAGCCACAAACCACCTTATCCTTATGGCCCTGGATATTTTTTTATCATCCGCATATCCTTGTCGATCACCCTGATAGCCATCTCTCATGCAGTTGCACGCTTTTTCATACATTGACTGCACAGTTCTGCCATGTGCACAAACTGACTCGGGATCACATCCCGGTTACACGATACTGTTACTGCCACCAGGGGCTGTTGTTCCACGGCTGCGCTCCATCACATAGTCTATTGTCTTAGAATTAATCAGAACTGAAAATTAATGTAACCTTTAACACAGTCACCGCTCTAATTCAGAACTCCATACGTTTTTGTTTGCCAAATACCCGCTGGGCCGCCCCAACCGAAACACACAAGAGACACAGAAAGGCACAATCCATCGAAGACGTCTCCACCGGATTAAGGAAAAAGGAAATGAAGGGGCACAGAGCGGGGGGTATGTTTGTATGCTTTCAAGAACGTCGAGACCGTGGGTGAACTGCTCTGGCGCCGACCCCGCTGGCTGCAGCAGGCCGTCTCTGAAGACCAGTTGGCACTTTTCGTTGCACCACATCGACAATGTGTATCTTATCACCGTCATTGTCGGATTCACTGTCTTCTTCTTCGTCACCTGCGCTGCTCGAATCGCCCCTGGCCGAATTCGAGGACACATGCTGACGACTCAGCGGATGGCGATCGCCAAGAACAGACCCGGGACTTGCCTGGTATGCCATATGGCCCGGATAGCTTTGAGGTCCCGCAGTGACGGTTGCCGAAGCATATGGTGCCTGGTACGGAGGCACCCACTGTGGCTCGTGAGGAAGGATGCGTGAATATGGAGAGTTCTGGAAGGTCGCCGGTGGAAGAGGGCTGGGGAAGGTGAGGGGAACGTCCGACCGAAAATCGCGTGGAACGGATGAGTAAGTCGGAGGCCCCGACATTCGAGGTTGTAGGTTAGGCACGGTGGTGGTTCGTGGTAGTACAGGAGAATGGTCCCTGGCCGAAGCGCCCGAAGCCCGCGCCCTCGATTCATACATCTCCTTCTTGTCCGTCACAAAGGTACGGGGTACGCTGCCATTTGGGGCGCTAGATCCATGCCGCATTGTCCGGATATTTGCCAGTTCCCCGTTTGTGGAGCTCTCTACTGGCCTCAGGGGTCTGCTGGCGACAGCCGCTGCCTTGGGAACCTTGTTTCTCTGTCCGACGTCTTCCATACCGCCAGTTTGCATCCGTTTTCGTTCGAGGGCGTCCAACTCCCGCTGTGAAAGTCGTACATTCTTCTGGCCCAGTATCTGCGCACGCCGTATCCGTTCCAGGGCCTTGTCTACCAGCCACTCTTCATCGTCTTTCATCGCTAATTGCACTGCATATGCCACCGTGCTGTCCGAATCGTCATACAGATCCAAGTCTATGCCGTCGACCGAGTGCACATCATCAGCAGATCCGTCGTAATCCTCATTGCGCCTCGGCCACCCAATCCTCGGTTGTTCAGCAGCATACAAAGCGCGACCACGTCGCAGAAGATACTCCTCTTCAACCCCGCAGTCAATCTCCTGAATCCGCACATTATTAGTATCCATCCACTGAGCCGCCTGTCTCCCGCTGGATCTCCCCACTCGTGCCCCCGGTGGTCTTCCCCATCGGGGCATACCGTAAGGAGCTCGCGGCCGACCACCTAGACCGCCTCCTCGGAAAAAGCATTCTCGATTGGTTTATCCATAAATGCGGCGTGACCGAAGACAGTCACGCCAGTGGCTCCGATCAGCCAGAGCGCAGTGGCGATGGGGGAAGCATAAAGACCCAGAGGAACCGCAACAATCAGCAGACCGGTGTATAGCTGAGAGGTGGTGAATCGGGCAAAGCCCAAATCAAGATCACGGCCCTGGAGCTTGCCAATTCCATACAGACCACCGGCAACCAACAGGATGACAAGAAGCAACGACAGATTGGTCAGCAAGCTGTATATGCTGAGCATGACAAAGACGGCGGCATAGTTGCTCGAGAAATAGGCCAGGTTGTAGTTCACACGGCTTTGAACTTCGCCGAAATTGGCAGGCTTCGAGAGGCGCTTGACGTCGAGGAACTCCGAGATCGGTCGGAGGTTGGAGAAACGCGAGGTAAGAGATTGCGCGCGGACGCTATTGAAGCGATCACCGAATCGTGAGGCAATCGCGTCAATGGGGAACTGAATCGGACTCATTGTGAAACGGTTGTAGGAAGATTTGTGAATGGAAATAAAAATTTTGAAGTGGTAACTGAGGGTCAGGAAAAACTGAAGAGGATTAGGAGGCAAAAAGTAGACGTGAAATCGAGTCAATGGGCAGAGAAGTAAGGAAAAGGGGTGGTAAATGAAGGCAAAGTCGACAGGTTTATCTGGCCGGAAGATATGAGGAAGCCTGGAGAGGTACGGAGTAAAGAGAGAAAAATCATTGGAACCTTCAGCCTAGCCCCGTTTGGTTCGTATTTTTGGTTCCGGCGTTGCAACAGGCACAAGGGGCTTAGCCTTACAACCTTAGCGCTTTTGGTCACCGCCGTCCAAGACTCCTTCTGGAGTAGACTGGATCCCTGAAGATTGAAGATACTTAGGGGATCAAGGACTCTTGATTCTCCCTAGTAGTGCTTAGAGTTTGATGATAATGGGGCAGTCGTCACAGTGTGAGGTTACTTTTGACTGCTGCGCTTTACACTTCCCAAGATCCTAATAATAGAAGTGGTCGGTGCCTGGAAGCGGAAGAGTCCACGGTCTCAAGCCGTTGGTAGACTCTGGGTCGAGACGCGAAAGCTGAACCGCGAACGAGAAATTGCAGAATCAGATGAAAGGAAAACGGCAGAGGACAACATGAAGATCCAATGTCTCGCTCGGATTAAGCCTCCCCCATGATCAAAACCCTTTCCCTTGTCAGGGCTGCCAACCGAAATAGATGCCTCAGGATGACCTGAGTATCTTAAGGCAAGGACAGAAAGGAAGGGAGTCTACGAGACTACTATGACAGGGAATGCTTGCATTTAAACCCAACACTTTTTGACCTCCAATTGTTCGTCTTGATCATGAATCATCCCCCATCAGATTCATCACATCTAGAATCAGGATGGCTGTTGGTACCCCTCATCTCCGTACCGGATTCATTTCTCCCCATGTCTAAGGCTTCAATACCATCCCCATTATTGGTCCACGTTTTTCCCCTCTGCAGAGTGGATCACACGTAGCCCTCAGCGATTTCGTGTCAGTGAAGTACTTGATGCTTTGATAATGATCTAGGGAGTAGATAGTTACGAAGGCAGCTGAACTTGTCCAGATGTATCTTACCCTGTACAACGGTATTACAGCCCACCGCCTTTCGATGTATCATAGGTGGATTGTGGACAGATCATAGTTTACCAAAAGCGGTAACTCTAAATTATGTGTAGTGCTCACTCCACCATTTCTCAACTTTTTGTGCAGGACTTGTTTCCTGAGAAGAGTCAAGCCTAGACTTCTATTTGATTCTTTGTTCGGGCCATTGCGGCATTGACCGCTTCCCCTCTGTGCCCATCATGAAGCCTCTTGCTCTCCGCTTGTTTGTGTTTGCTGTTCTAGTGGTTCTTGCTGCTGCTTGGACTAAAGAAGGTTTGTCCTTTTTTTCTTCCCCTTTGTATCGCCATGGGTTTCCTTGCGAACGAAGAAAATTGTTGCATCAATGCTAATCCGTTAAGATTATGAAATCTTCCGACTCAACGACGAGGTCGCAGCCACTGAAGGTGCTAATGTGACCTTTTACGGTACGTCCTTCTTCCCCTGTCTCTCACCTGTGCATTCGTATCTCATTCCCTCCTTTCCTGATAGACTTCCTCGGTGTGAGTCCCAATGCCAACCAGGACGAATTGAACAAGGCCTACCGCAAGAAATCCAGACTTCTCCACCCCGACAAGGTCAAGCGATCCTTCATCGCCAACCGTTCCAAGGACAAGGCCAAGGCCAAAACCACCAAGCAGGGCGTCCATGTCAACAAGGGTCCCTCCCAGCGCGAAATTGCCGCCGCTGTCAAGGAGGCCCATGAACGGGCTGCTCGCTTGAACACCGTCGCCAACATCCTCCGCGGGCCCAGTCGTGAGCGTTACGATCACTTCTTGAAGAATGGCTTTCCCAAGTGGAAGGGCACCGGCTACTACTACTCTCGATTCCGTCCGGGTCTAGGAAGCGTGCTTGTTGGGCTCTTTCTCGTTTTCGGTGGTGGTGCTCATTACGCCGCGCTCGTCCTCAGTTGGAAGCGGCAGCGGGAATTCGTCGACCGGTACATTCGTCAAGCAAGAAGGGCCGCCTGGGGTGATGAACTTGGGATCCGTGGTATTCCTGGCGTCGACTCCGCCAGCACTGCCGTCCCTCCTCCCCCTCCCGAGCAAGGAGAGGCAACTGCAATTCCTATGAACCGGCGCCAGAAGCGCATGATGGAGCGCGAGAACCGCAAGGAAAGCAAGAAAGGTTCAAAGGCATCACCACGCGGCTCCGGCACTGCAACGCCCACCACTGAGTCCGTCCAGCCGACTGGCGAGAGGAAACGGGTTATTGCTGAAAATGGCAAGGTGTTGATCGTCGATTCCGTTGGAAATGTCTTCCTCGAAGAGGAGACTGAGGACGGAGAACGCCAGGAATACCTGCTGGACGTTGATGAGATTCAGCGACCGACTATCCGTGACACAATGGTGTTCCGCGTCCCGATTTGGTTGTACCGGCAGACCGTGGGCAAACTGACTGTAGCTTCAACCACGGGAGAGCACGAAGTCGACGCTGAAGAAGAATCTGCAGAGGCCACGGAGCAAGAGGTCCAGGATAGCAGCAGTTCTGCTCTCAGGTCCAATAGCGGTGCGTCTAGACGGAGAGGAAAACGGTCACAAAGGTCCTAAGTCAGTCTGTCCCCAGGATGGGTGCGCAATTGTCAAGGTCGAGCCTTGGCTTATACTACTCTTTCCGAGGCATTATGGGCGAGAAATCATTGTATACATGTATATCAATTTTAGACGTAAAAAAGCTACTACAACAATTCTTATGCCACGCGATACCTTCATCTTCGCAGGAAGTTGACATTAACTGTTGCTGCAATTACGTTCATTGTCTACTAGAATGCCCCTGGGCAGCAGCCGTGTCTATTAACTGCTACTCGCTTTTCACTAATCTCCGCCCTTTACTAATCTGTTCGCGACCAGGCCCAGTCCCGTTGCAGGGTTTCAACCTGAAAAGAGTGGTTACAGCGATGCAGCGGCGAAGATACGCAACCCAGGCCATAGAGACCTTGAGTGGAAAATCATTGTACCAGGACGCATGTGTAAGCTTTAAAGTATGACATTGCAGGCAACATTGCAGGCAGCCTCCCAATAATAGCTGGTATAGATCATCAACGTTGTTGGAAGGAAACAAAACATCAATAATGTAGATCGAGTACATGTAATCATCGTCAGTCATAGTCATGATCGTTCGTAGGTATTCTTCATATCGCCATTCGGCAGGGATGGCCGCGTCAAAGCTTCGTCAATTGTAGCTGAGCTTCCCCGGGTCTGCTGGGCCCCTCATTACTACAGGAACATTTTAGCGATGTTCATGAGTCCATTAAGGTTGTCACTCATGCCACTCTCGCCGACCCTTCTAGCACCGGAGGAGTGACCACTCAGACTATGCGGTAGGCGGATACCGATCATGGCTAGTAGTTTCTGCAGTACACCACTCGTGAGCAGAGGGATGATGACCATGAACAAGACCTTTGCAGGGTGACGGCGCGCATAGTTGTAGATGTCGCGGAAGAGGCGCTTGATATAGTGGATTACGCGCTGGATAAACCCAGCTCGAGGCCGTGCGCGTCTCGAAGATGACGAGGACAGCACCGATGGGCTTGAACGACCAGCACGACTGTAGCCACCTAGGCTGAAAATTGATGGCGCTGAATGGCGAGAGTGCGAAGTCGAATAGACAGATAGACGGGACGGGGAGCGTCGGCGAACATGACGAGAAGACGAAGTCGTCGACCTTCCATCAAACCAGCCCATTTTTGCCAATCAATGTTGGGACGGCCTGAAATTCCTCAGGGTAAAGAATCGAGCTTTAAGCCAGAGTTGCCTGGAGCAAGGCAGAGGTAGCTGCTGAGTTATGGACCCAGATTGAGAATGCAATATTTGCCCCTCAGGCGTCTTTCTGTGCGCGATTCAGATGGATCGAAAGTGGATACGCAGTCAATTGATGCAGATGCACGAAATTTCAGTTCTAGGCCCAGCGCAGAAGATGTCTCCACTACTGGAATTAGGGTGATGTCCTGCCGAGATCTCTGTATAGATCAGAAGTCCTGGCAAAGTCACCGTAAACAATGATCAGCGGCCTAGTATTTCATGCAATTGAGTGATCACAGCAAGCAAAGGCTGGAGACCACACGGGGGAGTTGCAAACTGATTCCATTTTTGAGCACAAAAGAACCGGCAGCCAAAAGGAGCTGCGTGCACCAACTAGACTTACATGCGTTAGTAGAAAGCTGACGGGTGGCTGGTAATGAGCAGGATGATCCTCATTGGTGGTTGTTCCTCAGGAGGTGTTGCACGCAGATGAACATTGTGTCCTTATTTTCAAGGCACCCAAATCCAAGGCATCAGCTACCGACGTCATCGGCTTGAATGGAGCCAGCACATGGAAGGCTTGCATTTCTCAGGCTCGCTACGTTGCTGTGCATTTAGAAATCCTCAAATTCGACCTCACGGTTAGTTCATTTCAAACACGAATAGAACCATCCCCTCCACCGCACGACTTCAGGATCTTCTCACCGAAGGCTTAACAGTCAATATGCCTAGTAAGACCATCAACCCCTAGTCATACCTTGAGGGGATAATCAAAGACTGACAAACAAGAATCAGGGCGACCGGATTACTGTAATACTCCCCTTCTTCCCAGCGACTAAATCGATCGGAACTGCGCTCATAAGGCTACAGATAAAATTCTGGGTGTCTCCACTGACGCCACTCAACAACAAATCCGAACTGCATACAAACGGTGCGCGAAGGCCAAGCTTGGATCGTATCGTCGAGGCGTTCAATAACACTCAATAATCTGCAGAGAATCTTTGAAATCCCATCCCGATAGAGTACCTGCTGATTCACCAGAGCGACCCGCCCGAACTCGGAGATTCCAAGAGATCAATGATGCTTATTATACTCTTTCTGACCAGACACGTCGGCGAGAATATGACGCCCTAAGAGCCGCAGAAGCATACGAAGAGCCAGCAGAGGAAGTGCCTCGGGGTGGTGGCGGCGGCTTCCCATGGTCTGCCTTTGGATTTGGCACCACCACAGATAGCGAGCAACGAGCCTCTGAGCAATTTGGGTCCGTCTTCGAGGAGATGTTGCGGGAAGAAGGACTTGCCGAGGATACCAATGCCGATGGCCAACGTCGCACCAGGCCTACATCACGCTTTTGGTCTGTTGTGGGCGGTATCAGCGGTGGTGCTTTAGGATTCATTGTGGCCAATACTCCGGGTGCTTTGGCTGGTGCCGTTGCAGGGAATCGCCTTGGTGCTGTCCGAGACGCAAAAGGCAAGAGTGTCTACGAGGTTTTCCTCGAACTTCCGCAGTCTGAAAGAGCCCGACTACTTAGTGAATTGGCAGCGAAGGTCTTCCAAAGTACTCTGGGTCGCTAGGCGATTTGCGCCATACTAGCTAGTTTTATGTGGTGTGTTCGGTTCGCTGGGGAGTTTATATGGCTTCGTTCTTGGAGTATTTGGCGGATTTGGGAATCGACTTAAACGCACACTATGATTAACGCTAATATGTAGTATCTGCCATTAGTCCCTTGACAAATCTCATTTTGCATAAGTCTACAGAAGACACTCCTAGTCTACCGCACTATCTATTTTCACGCTCAGTCACGAGGACCGCCACAGAAAAGCGAGGCATTTGGCGGTGATCCCCAAGCCGTGTAGTTTCATTTTTCCCTACTTTTGGGGTTTCGAGGTTGGTATTATTCATGACATGCGATCTACTTCCAGGTTGTTTATCTTCTGTAATTGGCCGATCAGTAATACAAGCCATATGGAATGTACCTCGAAGAAAGTGGTGGGATGAAGAACTCCTCCTACTTTCTGTACTACTAATCTGGTTATCGATAAGGAGACCCAGACCCACAAATGTATCCTCCAGCGAAGGAGTGCCGGGGCCCCTGTGACTTTGACCGCTTCGAGCTTGTTTGCCTTGGTGCCTGAACCAATAAGCACTGAGGTGGGCTTGCAGCTCGGCGGGTGTCGGAATTAGGTCGGCGGGTGTCGAAATCAGTATGAATTAATTACAACATGTATGACACCTGTTTTAGCTTTCAGATGCCACTATCACCACCACCACCACTACTACTATACTAATTTTTTACCCTCTCCGACCGCGAACACCAACCACTAAAGGTTTGATTTTGAATAGCATTTAATTCAAATTGACCCCCCTACTATCTATAAATTTATACCCATTATATACATAATAATAAGGATAATTACTAAGTTATTTTAATATTATGCATATGCAGAGTGTAAGTAAAGGGAAGAGAATATAGGTAGGTAAGGTTAAATAAGTATGAATATACTCTGTATATATATATATTCATTCTACTATAGTAAGTATACTACAGAGTATACACACAATAAATTAAAATACTATATAAAGAAATTAGTTAAATAAAGTAGAATTTACTAATTATCCTTAATATTATGCATATAATGGGCATAAATTCATAGATAGTAGGGGGTCAATTTGAATTAAATGCTATTCAAAATCAAACCTTTAGTGGTTGGTGTTCGCGGTCGGAGAGGGTTAAAAATTAGTATAGTAGTAGTGGTGGTGGTGGTGATAGTGGCATCTGAAAGCTAAAACAGGTGTCATACATGTTGTAATTAATTTATGCTGATTTCGACACCCGCTGAGCTGTTGTCCGTCTAGACCCCGCTAGCCCCTCTTCTCACCGCATGCGGATAGGCCACGTTCCTGAGCTTTACAAGAGAGGTACTTATTGATATTTAATAGTTCTTTGACCCGCAGTCTGGTTATCCTCTGCGAATCTTGGCTGCCTTTGATCCCTAGCTCTCCTTTGCACAGATATCGTACCCTCAATTTCATTGATTAGATTCAACAATATCACTTTGAGAAGCAAACCTCATCATGGCTACCGAAGCTGCTAGTATTTACCCGGCTCTCCAGGACCGCCCTATTAAAAACACAATCTGTCTGTTCGATGTTGATGAGACGCTGACACCTGCGAGACGGGTACGTTAATTTACCAGTGAAGATTCTTAATGTCGAGTCCATGAGCTGATGGTCACCAATTCTTTGCCTACCAGGCCGTTACCCCCGAGATGCTCATGCTTCTTTCGCAATTGCGCCACAAGTGTGCCATTGGATACGTCAGTTAACCCGTTCACTGGATCTCGACGTCCAATCTCACCCTCTGCAGGTCGGTGGTTCCAACCTTGCCAAGCAACAAGAACAACTTGGAACGGCCGCGACGGACGTGACCTCCCTTTTTGATTTCTGCTTCCCGGAGAATGGTTTGATGGCTTTTCGTCTGGGCAAGCCTCTTGCCAGCACCAGCTTCATTGAGTGGATCGGCGAGGAGAAATATCAGAAGCTGGTGAACTTTATCCTCAGATACTTTGCGGACTTGCAGTTGCCCAAGAAGCGTGGTACCTTCATTGAGTTCCGCAATGGAATGATCAATGTAAGTCCGATTGGCAGAAACGCAAGTGTTGAAGAGAGAAACGAGTTCGAAGCGTATGTATACGAACCTGGGCTCAGCCAGCCATTGCAAAGACGGCAATGGATCTGTGGATACCAGCCAGCTAACCATTACGGCAGATATGACAAAGAACACCACATCAGAACAGATATGGTCAACGCGCTGAAGAAGGAGTTTCCTGATTATGGCCTCACGTAAGTGATTCATAATGACAATAGTAAAACGCCGCGTTCCAGAACAATAATAACAATCAATCTGCAGCTACTCTATCGGTGGCCAGATTTCTTTTGACGTCTTCCCTACTGGTTGGGACAAGACCTATTGCCTGCGGCACGTTGAAGCCGAGAAAGAAGTTACTGGGGTTGAGTACACGACAATCCACTTCTTTGGAGATAAATGCTTTCCTGGAGGTAATGACTACGAGATCTACTCAGACCCGCGGACGATAGGTCATTCCGTACATGGTCCTGAGGATACCATGAAGCAGCTTAAGGAATTGTTCCAGCTATGAAGCATGCTATTTCTTTTTCATCTTTCGTGGCTGCCTTGGGGCACATTCGAATGAGACATACAGCGATATCCTTCCCACTGTTTGTGACATAACTGAAGATTTAATAATGATACATAGACAAACTCTTGCAAATGTAATTCAATCGTGCCTTCTATACAATCATACTTCTCCAATGAGAAAGCTGGAAATCACATGCATCCCAAAATGCACTAGTGCTGCGATAATTAGTTAATTATAGTTACTATGTGTTAGTCATCGGCAATGCCCGCATTCCGGTTTACTGCGAGTACTCCGTAAGAGGCGGCCGACAGTCACTTATCCGACTACGGATAGAAGTTGCTGTTTTATACCTCTGCTCCTACATCTCTCCTCGATGAGTTGTCATTGCGCTGATATAATCTGAGGATGGCGCCGCAGAAATCTGTCACAGAAGTCCCGCGCTCACTTCTCCCTCGTCTGACCTGGAACGGCTCGTCTACCCGGATAACGGTCGCTCCACCCCAAGGCAACCCTCTCTCGACTTTGCGACCTCAACCCCAGCAGCGCATACAAAATCTGAGTCGTGTTTGTCCACAGCATCGTTCTCCGTCCCTTTATCCGCATCAAGCCCGCTTTTTCTCCGCGGCGTCTCGGGATCTTAGCCCGACAACACTGGTTGCAAGATGCCCGTCTACATCATCGAGGGCCCCGAAAAATCGTCCAGCTCTCGAGGACCTCAACAATCCTATCAGGTATAACGGGGTATATGTGGCCACTTTCAAGCCAGCGCGGCGCGCCTTTCACGCTTCGGCTTCTCTGCAGCGGGAGCATCACTTCGACACATTGAGATTCGTCCAACGGCTTAAGGATGAAGGATTCAGTGAAGAGCAAGCCGTCGCAATGATGAGGGTCCTGAACGATGTCATCCAAGAATCAATACAGCACTTGACGCGGACAATGGTTCTTCGGGAAGGTTGGTCAACTCCTTGTTTTCCGCAACTGGCCATGCCTTAGGGTCAGGTCCATTTGGAGCTTTGCCAGTCATCATACCCTCTTTGTTGCTCCTCTATTCTCAGGCGCTGACGACACATTTCCAGATACTGAACGCTCAGCATATACACAGAAAGTCGATTTTGCTAAACTCCGCTCAGAGCTGCTAAATGCCGATTCGACCGAAGCGCAGCTGACTAGATCATCCCACGAAAAGATTGCTGCGGATCTTGCGAAACTCAACTCGCGACTGCGGGACGAGATTGGACGAACTCAAGCCTCTGTTCGCCTTGATTTGAACCTTGAAAAAGGACGTATCCGAGAAGAAGCGAACGGCCAAGAGATGCGCATCAAGGAGACTGAAACACGCATCGAGCAAGAAGTTGCAGGGCTGCGAGAGCGCGTTGAGGCTGTGAAGTTCTCAACCTTACAATGGCTTATGTATGGCTCCTTTGCTACATTCGCTCAAACCTGGCTAACATATTTACCTTTCAGGGGTGTCTGCACCGGTACAGCCGCTCTCATTCTCGGTGCCTGGCGTCTTTTCATGTGATTCATCGGCGCTTGAGTCCGACTCGATGTCGACTTTTTCAGCACTCCAATCTTACTGTTCAGTTGTAACAATCCCTGTACATAATACTCCGCTCGCCTCGTCTTTTTGCTCAAATAGAACAAACTGAGAAGAAGGAAGGTCCGTTTGCATTTGTGGAGAGTGATGGCGATCGATTTGGTTCTCAAAGGATACTTTGTATAATTCTAAAGCGTTGTTCCGAGCGAGTCGTGGAATTGACATTGACAACACAGATTTACCGCTTGTAAGGATCTTACAAATAGTAAGGACATTTCGATTGCATAGACAGTCACATTACAACGGTATTCGCCGACAGATGTAGGTTCTATCTGAACCGGAATGCTGTCCAGGAGATGTGTTGTGCCGGTCTTTCTCAAAATGGCAGGTCGATTGTCTAGTGCGTGACATGACTTCCATTCTATCCCACATGGCTTATCAACTCTTCCAATAACATTAACTACTAAATAGTACATCAGATAGTCGTCGCACTCCTTGCACGCTAGTATTGATATTCATTGCCTCTGGCTAGTGATATCATGATATGATAATAATGTATCCCCTGCAACGCTCATTCTGGAGTAACAACAACGCTACTGAGCGGGGAAGAGGAGACGCCAGTCCTCTGCATGCTGCCGACGGGCTCCTGTATAGCTCCGTCACATTGATAGACCCAGCCATGGCGCGATCCGGAATGGAGCAGGGATATGCATCTAGTCGCGGCTTCCTTTTAAGATGTTCCATGTCCCAGTCACAGGTGCTTGTGCTTGTGCTGCTTGTTTCGGCGCTATTTCTCTGCTGTTGCTTTGCAATGAATGTTGCCAACTTTCGGCGATCCGGAAAGACATCCAAGGTCGAGGCGAAAGAACTTTCGCTGGATGATATTACAATATACAAAGAGTCAAGATTGGATACTTGTTCAGAATCAAAACGTTCTGTGTCATTGGATTGCAATAGAAATCAAGAAGACGTCGTCCGGAACTGCCCCTGCCAGATAAAGATCGTCTGCATGGCGCTGTCACTCATGCTTTGTGCTGCCCTCATATGGCTCGGATACCTGCCTTTGGAGTGTTTATCTGGTATTGCAACCCGTCAGGTTTCAGCTTCTACCTCCAATACGACAGATGTGTTGGAGGTCTTTCAAGTGTACCAACCTGTTTCGACCACTGGAGGCGCAGATTCCGCATGCGATGATGAGATACTTCTTATGGATCATGTGTTTGCCTATAGCTACGGCAAACCTTTCGTAGGTCAGTGGATATCCTCGCGGATTGGTGGCTCTGATATTGATTCCAGTAACAAGGAGATTACAATCCACCCAAATGTGACTTCGACACGGTTCGAATCAACCTCACTGTGACCTCTAGAGGTCGACAATATGATCGATTAGCGATCATGTACCTTGGGGATGCAGAGGTATTCCGTACATCGACAGCTGAACCAACTACGAATGGGATTGTCTGGACATACATTAAGGAGATGTCTCAGTACAATGCACTGTGGAAAGAACCACAAAAGCTAATCTTTGATCTGGGTAATCTGATATCCGATGTCTACACAGGCAGTTTCAATGCAACACTTATTGCCGTCTTCGCCCAACGGGGCACTACTATTAGAACAGCGGACATGATTCTGCCGATATCAGCGCGCAAATCAGCCTCTAATGCATCGAGTGCCTTGATTGTGCCTTCAGACAATGTAGAGATAGCCTATCGATTGCCCTCCAACACTGCCCGTGCTATTGTGTCGATTTCTGCATGCGGACAGTCCACAGAGGAGTTCTGGTGGTCTAATGTGTTCTCGCCCGACACAGAATCATTCGTCAGCACGGTTGGCGAACTCTACGGGTATTCCCCCTTTCGTGAAATTCAGCTCTATATCGACGGTCTGCTTGCTGGGGTTATCTGGCCATTTCCAATTATCTTCACAGGGGGAGTCTCGCCCGGCTTCTGGCGTCCAATAGTTGGAATTGATGCTTTTGACCTGCGACAGCCCGAGATAGACATCTCACCATTTCTTCCTCTTCTGACTGATGGGCGAGGACATTCTTTTGAAATAAAGATCGTGGGCTTGGAAATTCAAGCGAACGGAACTGCCAGACTTTCTGATTCTGTCGGCTCTTACTGGGTGGTCACGGGAAACATCTTTTTGTACCTCGAGGAGGATGCATCGTATTCAAGAACTGATCGATCGAAGAAGGTGCCTCAAATAACCGCGCCGACACCACAGTTCACAATTACACGACTTCTCACCAAAGATAAGACAGGCGTTAACGATACACTCTCGTACTCTGTTGTTGCTGAAAGGACTCTCAGTATCACCTCAACCCAATTCACCTGGCATCAGTCCTTGAAGTACTCCAATTCGGGTCTGCTAAGCCGGCAAGGATTGAGCCAAGCGAATCACCAACTCACATCCGGGAAGATATCAGCTGCAGAAATTGGAGTCAACGGATCTACTGATGATCTGACCTTCGAATATCCTTTATTTGTCAACACAACTTATGGTATCGCTGACACTGAGCTCACCATAAACGCCCATATGGATAGAGGTCTTGACATAGCGGCGACAGGGGTTACTGGTATCTCTACCTACACCTTAACTTCGGGCCCGTCGAGATTGCACACTAGACAATGGGGCAGCGCATTCTACCGTTCAGTCACAGGTGGCGGGTCGACATCTGCTGGAGATACAACTGATGTTTTCGAGAGCATCGCTGAACAATCGTATCACAGAACCGTCCGTGCTATCAATGGAAGTGTTGTCACAGATACAGATGTCCGATCACAGACTGCTTCACTTCAAGCAATTCAGGATGTTCTGTTATCACCAGGCAGAGACAGCGTGAGAAGCATTATTGGAAGAGGGCCTGGAGGCAAGAAGTAATACTCAATGTGAAGCTACTCAGAGAGCAGGTAGACCTAGATGCAATATCCCACTTCCAAGCACTGATGGAGCTGAATCAAACATTACTTTCCTACATATCGTTGGTACTCAATTGAGTTTAGAGCCATACTTTACCAACAGAAAAGTGAGTTTTGCCACTATCTCCACAGCCATGAAACCTCTTTATCAATATCACGTGATTTCTATGATAAGATTGCCTTATCGCCATTCATCTTCCTGCTTCATACTTGATGCATTGTGGCGGTTTGTACAGACGGAAACAGTCTCAGGATGGCTGTGGTGACGGAAGAAGTTTGCTATTCGGGTGCGCCAACTACCCTTTCTCTAATGGGATCTGCTGCTTGATTGCTGATTGTTTACAACATGCAGGTAGAGTGCCTGATAGCTTAGCCACTGCTTTTGCGCAAAGCGGGCGACTTGCGCAAAGTGGGCAACTCGAGAGCGATGGTCCTCCCAGCAAGCGTCGCAAACTGACATCAGCACCCCAGAGTCTTCGAGACGTGAACGGCGCATCAGAAAATGGAGTCCCCAATGGATATATTGCTTTGGCGCGCTTTGACCTAAACCTGGTATGTAGACTAGCACAATGATTGACCATATACCGTACCGTGAGAGCGTGACTGACTTGACCAATCTCTATCAGAAATTCGCCCACGCAAACCCTCTTTCGGAGAAACACGTCGATGATCCTTTGACGCCATTACCCCGGCTTCCTGTCGTCCTTCAGAGTGCTGGAAACTCCCGACATTTGGCCAGTTGGACTCACGAGTCGACCTCGTACGACTGTTTCGAGCTAGAGATAGCTACACTGGCGGAGCGAGAGACCGTGTACAAAGAGTCTTCGACTAGTCCTCAATTATTAGAGTTTGGAAAACACCTCGAGTCCGCTCATCGCCTTGTTTGCGCCGATCGATACCACAAGAAGGCTCCGATCGCATGTTATCAATGTACTCTCCATTGTTCAACAGATAGGAAGTCATTTCGGCTTGAGACGCTTATTCTATGGAAAGATTCTTTGAATATTATCGATGAAAAGCTGCTAAATGCCAGGGCACTTGATACGTTTGCGAAATATGTGCTACAGCGTGATGCCGAGGTGTACAACAAGGCGCGCAATATGGGTTTTGCGCCAGCAGCCATTTGGTCGCCCCGAGATTTCTACGATAATGTCCATGTTCCCCAAGACACACCCGAGTCATCTGCAGAAATCAAGTCCAACTTGATACATTGTCGGCTTTATCCATTCCAGAGGAGAGCAGTACGATGGTTACTCGAAAGGGAAGGTGTGAAGCTTCAGGAGAATGGACACGTGTTTCCTCTGGAGGACAAATCGGCGAGTGAACTGCCCACGTCATTCGAGAAACGTACAGACGCTGAGGGGAAAACGTACTATGTTAGCCCTTTGTTCGTGACTGTCACATCCGATCTTTCCAATTGGTACGCACCGGCGGACTATCTCAAGGGCGGTATTCTTGCTGAAGAGATGGGACTGGGCAAGACTGTGGAAATGATTAGTCTGATGTGCCTCCATCGTCGGTCCTTGCAACCTGATATGGACTTGGAAATCGGTGGAATGAGACAATCCGGTGCAACATTGATCATCACACCTCCTGCTATTCTCCAGCAATGGATGCAGGAAATTCAGCTGCATGCACCGGCTCTTCACGTTCTTCACTATACAGGTATAAATCGCCATCAGAAGCTTTCAGACCGCGAACTTCTTGAACTACTTGCCGACCAGGATGTCGTTCTCACCACATATGATGTCCTTGCACGGGAGATTCATTATTCCGGTGATGCTCCAAAACGTAATTTGCGGCATGAGAAAAGATTTCAGCCACGAAAATCGCCTCTTGTTAAAATATCATGGTGGCGAGTCTGTCTTGACGAAGCTCAAATGATCGAGAGCGGCGTGAGCAATGCAGCAAAGGTCGCACGTCTGATACCTCGCCAGAATGCGTGGGCTGTTACCGGTACACCTCTTCGGAAAGATATCTCTGACCTTCTTGGCCTTTTGCTTTTCCTTCACTATGAACCGTTCTGTGGGTTCGTGTGGAATAGACTCTGTCGATCGTTTCACTCTGTGCTATCCGGCATTGTCAGTCGAGTCGCTCTTCGGCACAGCAAGGACCATGTTCGCAGTGAGCTTGATCTGCCGTCCCAAAAGAGATTTGTGATCACTATTCCTTTCACAGCGGTCGAAGAACAGCATTACGCACAATTATTTGAGCAAATGGCCGAAGATTGCGGCCTAGATATGTCCGGTGCGCCACTTAAAGACGATTGGAATCCAGAGGACCAAGCCGTTGTAGAGAAGATGCGGAGTTGGCTAATGAGACTGCGTCAAGCATGTCTCTATCCGGCTGGAAGTGGCCGCCGTGTCTTAGGTTTCGGTGGCGGCCCGCTACGTTCTGTTGCCGAGGTTCTTGAGATAATGATCGATCAAAATGATGCTCTTGTCCATGCAGAAGAGCGCGCTCTCGTCCAGTCTCAGCTTCGACGGGGGCAGCTCCTGGAAAATGCCTTGCGTCGTCAACAAGCACTTGAACTTTGGACCAAGTCATATGAACGGTCCAGTGCACTGGTCAAGGAATGTCGCATCCGGCTACAGTTAGAGCGTGATAAAAGTCGAGCCACGGCCGACGGCGTAAGCCAAGGCGGAGCGACAGATGATCCAGTGAGCGATAATGAAGTTGATGAGGCGGACAAGAATACTCGTGTTAGTGCGTACCGTCAGAGGCTGCGCGCTGCCCTTGAGATTCAGCATGTCTCAATATTCTTCATCGGAAATGTGTTCTACCAGATCAGGACAGATCCGAAGCTTACTGAACCGGACTCGGAGGAGTTCAAGCGCCTTGAGAAACGCGAAACTGAGTCTTATGAAGAGGCCAAGCTGATTCGGATGGAGATACTATCCGATGTTTCTCGTAAAGTTGCTCGCTATATGAAAGTGATCAGAGAGAAATCGGAAAGGAAGCAGTTCGTGGTTATCCCGAAAATGAAGCCACAGCTTTACAGCAAAGGACTAGAGGCCCGCCGCATATTCGACAGATACGAGGAGTTCTGTGAAGTGATGAATAAACACGCTGTTCAGTACAATGAATGGCGCGATATCATGGTCAAGTTACTCTCGCAGTCGCTCATTGACCAGGAGGATGAATCAGAGCTCGAAGGAAACGAGTACGAAAGGTCAACAAAGCATCAAGACGAGATGTATGTTTATATGGAAGCTCTGCGTGCCATGTTTGCGGACCGTCACGATGCTCTCACTGGTCAGCAGAATGTCCTCATTGCTCACGAAGTGAAAGGCGGCATTATTCAAGCTCAGCAAGGCGAGGGGCCGTCTCCGGCGCTATTTCTTTCGGTGATGAACACCCGTAGTGCGCTGAAACCCGCGCCTGCGCTTGGTTCTCTTCGTGGCATCATCAGCGAGCTTCGCAGTCTTGCGACCTCTCTCGAATGGCAAGGAAGTGGGGGAAGCTCTCGCGCTCTTGCCGAGTTGGAACTTGTCAACTCAGTCCTCCAACACGCTGCCAAGATGGCTGCGGAGCAGAACAAAGTGTCATCGAATCTGGAGAGAGAAGTGGAGATGTTCCGGGACACTATGAATAACCGCCTCGAGTACTACCGTCAGCTGCAACAAATATCCGATATGGTTGCTCCTTATGACGAGGAAAGTGTCGGTAAACCGTTGGATGAAGATCTATATGCGGCAAAGCTCAAGCAAGAGAACGATATAGATGCAAAGATATCCACCCTAAGGTCGAAACATCGTTATCTTCTACATCTGAGAGACGACTCAGGGGTTGATAATGCATCGAGAATATGTGTTATATGTCAGTCCAGCTTTGAAATCGGTAAGTACATGTGCTCTATTTTCCTACGCTGAGACTTCGTTTTGCTTACATTCATAGGGGTCTTGACCGTTTGTGGTCATAAATACTGCAAGGATTGTCTGCGAATATGGTGGAATCAACATCGCACCTGTCCTACCTGTAAAAAAAGACTCAAGGTCAACGATTTTCACCAAATAACCTATAAACCCGAAGAGTTCGTGGTGCAGGAAGAGAAGACACCCAAACTTGAATCGGGTCGTTCATCGAACAGCTTCATTTACGCTGACATCAGCTCGGGGACGCTCAAAGAGATTAAGAACATCGATCTTGAGGCCTCCTTTGGCACCAAGATCGACACTCTGGCCCGTCATATTCTTTGGCTACGCGAGCATGACCCGGGTGCGAAATCCATTATATTCTCTCAATATAAGACCTTTCTTGAGGTGTTGGGGACTGCTTTTTCCCGATTTAAGATTGGCTACAGTAGCATCGACAATGCAGATGGTATAGAGAGGTTCAAGAGCGACCCAGCGGTATGTCTCCCCAAAGCCCACTGTTACTGTTTCTTTACTGATAATTGCCCTGCAGGTCGAATGCTTCTTTCTACATGCTAAAGCTCAGTCGTCCGGTCTTAACTTGGTCAACGCTACTCATGTTTTTCTGTGCGAACCACTTGTGAACACTGCGATTGAGCTCCAGGCCATCGCCCGTGTGCATCGAATCGGTCAGCACCGGCCTACTACCGTCTGGATGTATCTCGTATCTGATACCGTTGAGCAATCGATCTACGAGTTATCAGTCTCTCGCCGCCTAGCTCATATTGTCCAGAAGGAGAAAGTGAAAGAGGCACTGGACGACCCAGGAGCCGTTTTCAAAAATCTGACTGAAACAGCCATTGATTCGGCAAACTCCTTGGAAGTACAAGATGCGACACTGGCAAAGCTGATGACAAAAGGAACAGCGGGGGGAGAGCTCGTGAAGAAGGACGATTTATGGCAATGCCTTTTCGGCAATGCCACCCAAAAGTTGGACTTGAGGGCAGATGGGGAGGTGGCGAGGTTCCTGCGAGGTGATGCAGCAGAGAAAAGAAGGACCGCTGCTTCTTCATGATTCTACGATATATTATATAATGACTGATGAGTTATCCTATATGACAATAGATGTAAACATAGTGCATTTTCTTCTCCGGGCATACCAGGAGTATATAGGGTTTTTGAATATATATCACCCGTCTTGACTCTCAGTCCCGCGAAACTCTGCTCGATGTGTTTCATGCAACTCAACGGGCGCAGATGATCCACTGCTACTTGAGCCTCTTCGCCCGTCTGCTGATTTCGCTCGTCTTCCATCTATAAAAATTTTCATGTCGACATTTTGATCATCTTCCAGTGTGATGACTAATCATGGTGCGTTCCTGAGCGGCAGAGCTTCTCAACCGCAGTGACGTGAGGCGTATCTGCCTACGGAAGGCGAGTTGTATTCTAGTCATTCTTTATTTAAGCATCGCCTCTGGTATGGTGGCTTGTATTTTATCATCTTTCACATTATCCATGGGCCAGGTTAACCATCTTTTTTTCTCCGTCTGATTTCGTTATGGCTCCCGACGCCACGTCAGCGAGTTCCGAGGCTCGAGAGTTGAACTTAATATCAAAGGTCGAGTTGAGAATCGCACTTGCAGATACAGATGAGAAACTCGAGGGACTTCTCAACACATATCTGGCTCCGTTGTTACTGAAGCTAGGTTCCGAAAGCCACGCAGTCCGCAGTAAGGTCATTGCGGTGTGCCAACATATCAATACGAGAGTTCAAGCACCGTCCATCCAGCTGCCCGTGGCAGCTCTACTAAAGCAGTTCAAAGACCAGAAGTCTCAGCTGATCAGACATTTTGATTTGGTTTATCTTCAACAAGGCATTGATCGATTGGGTCCCAACGCGAGAATTGACATCTTACTCCCTCTGCTCCAGGGAATCTCTGAGATCGGAGCAACCAATCAAGGTGCCATTATCTTCAATCTTGTCTTGCGGCTTCTGCCTTTGCTCAATCTACCTCCAAAGGGCAGTGAAGAGGATGCACAGTTGAAGTCGAAGCTTTGCCTTTCTGACCAGGATACGACTTTTTTGTCTTCGTGGTTCGAGAAGTTACTTCTTCTGTACCCTGCAGAAAAAGATGCAACCACATGTCCTGGGCTATCACCTGCGGAGTACACCTTTCTGAACAAAGGCCTTCCTGCAGATGAGACATGGAACCCTGCTTCGAATGGCGGACTCAACCTTACCGCGACGAAAGTAACAGCCTTGAGGTTCCTCACTAGCGGAGCTTTCACGGACTCGGAGAGATTCATTCCCGCTCTTATCGCCTCTGCGGATGCAAACTCTCGAGTCTCTGACCTTGGTGAAGAGATTTTGAAGCGATTTATCCCTGACCTGGAGAATCCTGATGTGGTGCAGAAACTGTACAGCCTCTATTTTGGAGACGGTACGGCGGATGGTGCCCAGCCGGCGCGACCTCCCGTACAGTTGAAGATCCTGGTTTTCTTAGGAAAGTCGATTGTAGCTACGAAGGATACGGGAAAAGTAATTCGATTAATTGAGGAAGGTCTCCTCTCAGACAAAGCAAGGTCTTCCCAGGGCCTACAAGCCTCAAAACTGAGGACCCAGATCTTTACGTTCACAACCTGGGTGGTGCGGATGGGATCTCCTTCCGATCTCAAGCTGATGGCGCCAAAGCTCATAGCAGGGTTGTGGGACTTTATCCAATCTCAGGGTTGGCCGAGCCCTGCAGCCAGCGGCCAAAGGCTTCCCGCATCAGACTTGAGTCTCCGTGGTCTTGCCTACGAGAGCATTGGTATACTTGTTCCCAAGGTGGATTTTCAAGTTCAAGATGACCAGGCGCAATTTTCTGATTTTGATCTGATCAAATGGTTGTTCACGTCCTTGAGCTCCGATGACTCGGGCCCTCAGATCTTTGTGAGCATTGAGCAGGCCCTGGGGAGTATTTTGAACTCCTCAGTGGACCGATGGAATAAGGAATTTCAAGAGCAAATTCGTCCTTTCCTCGTCCATCAGATGGGTAATCTACCCGGTGACGAAGATCCCATCACTGGATTCAAGGTCGTTCGCAGATCGCAATATGCTGCCGTCCGTTTTTCCAATCGATTCCTACCATATAGTGATGTTGTGGCTCGCTGGATTGACCTCATGGCTGTTGCGCGCGGATCGGAACTGAATCAAGAGGTTGTAGAGGAAGGCAAGAAGGGCTTACATCCTTATTGGTACCGGCTGCTCAATCCCAGCAGGGACAGAAAATGGCTCGCATCGACAGCTACAGATGAAACGGACCAGGCTTGGTACAACTTCCCAACGTTTTCCGACGCAACTGGCTTCTTACTTGGTTCCCCAGAATCAGCGAGAAGTGCAGTGGCGCCAGCTCTGTCCGCGCCGGAGGCTCTGTCGGGGCCATACAGGACTGCTCTGCCCGTTGCTATTGCATTTCTTCGCAACATTCTTCTCTGGGAGTCTCTCTCAGCATCTGGAAACATCATGGACATTGAGCAAGATTGGGATGTCAAACTCGACGTGCTTCTTACGTCTGATGAGGGAGCCCGACAAGGATTGAAACAGTACATGCAGTCGTCGGACAAGGAACCTATTTTATTATTCCTAACAAGCGCCTTGACCGGTCTTACGAGTGACAAACGACTGGGTCTACAGCGGTGCGGAGAGCACTTTGTGAGCATCTGCTCGCTGGCGTCAAATGAAACAGTTGGGGCTCTGGTTCCGCAGACGCTGTCATTGAAAGCCTCTGTAAGCAGTACTGATCAGGAAATACAGAATAAGGCTGCGCAAGCTCTTGGGATCCTAGCATCTCACCCTGCGTTGTCTGATGCCGATATCCAATCCCTGCTTTCAGATCTGTCAGATTCTGTATCCACATGGAAAACGGCGATCGGAGAAGCCTTGCTGAAGATACGGGGCGCGATCCTTGCCATAGCTTATATACTGAGCAGGCTTGCATTCCGTAAGGCGCTGCATAGAGCCTCCGACGAACAGGTGGAACAATTCACAAGCACAGTGTTCGAGCTGGTAGAGAACTCTCGTGACACTCTCCTCCGACGCTCCGCACAAGTGGCACTCGGACTACTAAGTCTCTCGGGAATTCTCTCGCCGGCAATGATCTCTGATGCCAGATGGAAGCAAATCAAGGAGAAACTAACTCAAGACGCAAAATCCGAGAGTGATACCGCCATCACCGCCCTAGGCCTCCTGGCCTTGACCTTTGCGAGATCAAGTACTGATCATGCGCTCTTTAAAGAGCTGCTCACGTCGCTTTATGAGCTGCATGAGATCCGAAGCCCTGAGATCCACTTTACTGTTGGTGACGCATTAAGTAGTGCCGCGGTCGGTTGGAATTCGAAGTCACTACTCCGGCAATTTGACGTCGACGAGGAGGTTCCGCACATGACAGTTTCGGAGAAAGTACTCGCTGAGATGACGGACAAGATCATAGCGGACTGCACCGCATCGAAACCCTCGCTAAGGAAGTCGTCCGCTATATGGCTGCTGTGTCTGATCAAAAACTGCGGACATCTGGCCGAGATACAAAACCGTTTACGCAAATGCCAGGCCACATTCACAGGCATACTTGGAGATCGTGATGAGGTTGTGCAGGAGACTGGAGCACAAGGGTTAGGCCTTGTGTACGAGATGGGCGATCAATCCCTCAAAGACGACCTTGTGCGAGATTTGATCGACTCCTTTACTGCGAACAAATCTAATCTCGGAGGAGGCAGAGTCCACGCAAATACGGAGCTTTTTGAACCTGGTGCTCTCCCTACCGGAGAAGGGTCGTCGATTAATACATACAAAGATATCATGAATCTCGCATCCGAGGCTGGTGACCCGACAATGGTGTACCGGTTCATGTCGCTAGCCTCCAACAACGCGCTTTGGACTAACCGTGCCGCTTTCAGCAAGTTAGGCATCAGCACTATCTTCTCTGATTCGAGTGTCAACGGATATCTGGCGAAGAGTACCAAGATCTATCCGAAGCTATTCCGCTACCGATTTGATCCCAACCCGAACGTGCAAAGATCCATGAACACTATCTGGACTGCATTAGTCAAGGACCCAGCAGTGGTAATCAATACTCATTTCGATGAGATCATGGATGATCTGCTGACCAGTATGCTGGCGGGCCGGGAGTGGCGTGTTCGTCAGGCAAGCTGTGCTGCAATCGCAGACTTGATGCAGGGACGGCAACCTGAAAAGTACGCAAAGTATCTGGATGAGATTTTCACGAAGGCATTCAAGCTCCTGGACGATATCAAGGAATCGGTTAGAGTGTCGGCGCTCAAGCTCTGTCAAACGCTTACCAATGCAATCGTGCGCACCTTAGAGACGAGTGATTTGGAAACAAAACGAGCAAATGCCATGCTAGCAAGCGCCATTCCGTTTCTGCTAAGCGATAAAGGCATGGAGTCCAGTGTGCAAGAGGTCCAAGGATTTGCGATCGGGGCTCTGGTTCAGATGATCAAGAAGAGTCCTAGTGGTCCTTTACGAGCGTTTGTCCCTCGCATAATCGAGCAGTTTCTCAATTCGCTGAGCTCCTTGGAGCCTCAAGCGGTCAATTATGTCCATCTCAATGCCGACAAGTACGGGTTAACGGGCCAGGAAATAGATAAGATGAGATTATCTAGTATCCGCACCTCACCGATGATGGAAGTGATCGAACGATACTTGATTGACATGCTGGACGACACCAGCATGAAGGAGTTTGCACCCAGGCTCGAAGGTGTCCTTCGCTCTGCAGTTGGACTTCCATCGAAAGTGGGATGCAGCCGTGTTCTTGTCCTCCTCAGCATGAGGCCGATGCTTTTCCGTCCGTGTGCAGATCGATTCATTCAGCTGCTCAGCAAATATGTCGTTGATCGGAACGAAACAGTCAGCGCATCCTATTGCACCTCCATTGGCTATCTCATACGCCTGGCTACGGACGACCAAGTCCTGAAAACCATCAATTATGCCAAGAATCTATATCTGGCTGCGGAGGACGCCAATGAACGAGTCATCTCGGCAGAAATTTTACATTCTACGTCCAAGCTGTCCAATGACCGTTTCATGGCGTTTGCTGCTACGACACTGCCCTTTATCTTCATTTCAAAGTATGACACGGATACCCATGTGCGGGAGGTCTTCGATAATACCTGGCAAGATAATGTCGGCGGCACTAGGGCGGTTTCACTTTATGTTAAGGAGATTGCCAGTCTCGCTGCGGAGAACCTGGATTCCCCCCGGTGGGCCATCAAGCACACGGCTGCCCTTGGTATTGCAAATGCCATCATGTTGCTAGACGCCGATCTCGATCTCGCCACAAGTCAATCGCTCTGGCCTGTGCTGGAGAAGGCACTGGCAGGAAAGACGTGGGGCGGGAAAGAGGCTGTGCTCAAGGCGTTTGTGAAGTTCGCAAGCCAAGCTCAGAAGTTGTGGCAGGAGAACAAGCAGCTTAGTGACTCAATGAAGGTAAGTCTCAGTCTTGCGTATCGTGTATAACTACGATGCTAAGTGGCCGGGTCAGGTTATTGCGATTAGAGAGGCGAAGCGCAACAATCCGACATATCGTCCGCATGGTCTTGTGGCCTTAGGCGGAGTCGCTCGGGCGCGCAAAGATGTGGACTTCATGCCAGATGCGCTGAACATTGTGTCTCGAGTACTGGACGAAGTCACGGAGGCTGATGCAGACTCCATGGACATTGATTCGGGTAGTGGCCAAAATTCCAAGTATGTTTACAAGACCTGCTCCCCTTTCTCAGTCTTTTTTAGGCTCTTCTAGCTCCTTGAATAGATGATTGACTTTCAAAAAAGACAAACTTTAGAAGATACACTGGCGGCCTGTGTGAGGTGTCTCTTTGAATGTCTTGAACCGTCCGCCGCAGCAGCGGGAGGTTGGTACCCACAATCCATCGTTTTCTTTCAGGATTTACTGACCTGGCGGACAGCAATCAAGTCTTATCTCGAAGAAATGACGCCGTTGATTGAAAAAGCTGTGATGCACGGGACGAGGAAAGTGCAGATTAGCCTTTACGAAGAATTGGGCAAGCTATTCGAGAGGTTCGGGAAATGGGCAACGGCAGGCAATGGCCAGAAGCCTGAAGCAGGCGAATTGCAGGGACCGTTGGTGGCGGTCGCGCAAAAAATGCTTTGTCGGGAGATAGACATGTCCATCGAAACCATCCGGATGGGTCGCGCACAGGCCGCAGCCGCGTACGTTACTTTGTCCCAACAGATGGGGCTAGGAGTCAGTCAGGCACTGCAGGAATCGGTCAAGACCTGGAGAGACGGCGAAAGATCGGGACCGGTACAGCAAATCCTCAACCAGGTATTGGGTGATCTTGCAGTCTTGCGGTGAGACAAATCGAGAACGCGGAGAAGCGTGGTTTGGTTTGTCCCAGGTTGAGGAAGGCGAAAAGCCTCGATACAGTACCTGTCAGGCTGTCAGGCCCAGTTGCATGCAGTGATATTCAGCCGATCTAGCTTCTTATCCAGACCGTCGGGTTACGGCTAGGCCCGGGGACGGGGAGATGCAGACAACCAATAAGGTTCGATATTCTGAGAAGCCGTTCAGGCGTACCACTTGACCTGTGCATTTAGGGAAGAGCACCGGTCAGGGCAAACTGTACCTACTGTCGAAAATCAAGGAATGACTACATGACCTAGACTTGCACTATTGCTCCGAGGCTTGGACGCCTGACGAGCTGATGAATCATTTATTAAGCAAATTGTTAGGCCTTCGTAGTGTTGTCCGTTGCGGAGCCGAAGAAATGCAAAGCTCCGCATATGTCCACCCACACCCATCATCCATTAATATTGCCAGGAGGACATTTAGAATTATCCTTACTGAATACGGCATACGGTATGGAGTAGTTATCCAAGGAAATGGGACAATAGGGTAACGGCGCAAAGTTGCGGACATGTCCTAGCGTAACCCATTAGACTTTGGTCCAGAGTTCAGCATGACACCTGGGGCCTATGATTGGTGGGGACAGGGGGGTTGTCTTACCCATCCGTTGGGCACGGGCCGAAATAGTACAGGGACCAAGTTTGATGATCCAGACCGGCCGAGACCAGTCTCGTTAGGGAATGGGACTATTTTAGTCTTCATTCCTATGTACTGTCTACATTGTCCGGGTTATTAAACGCTTTGCAGTTTGGATCTAGGCCATTGGATATGGTCATCTCGCCGGAGAAGGTCGGCCTTTGGAGTGATACGTGGTGTTGAATCGACCTGACCTCTGGACAGAACGACGGACAGATGGGAAATACAAATTGATGATGTATCTGGGGTCGTTGAACTATTGATTTATATACCTCGGATCCGATGAGTCAGGAGGTCTGTGAGGCCTGTGTGTAGTACTACTGAGCATTAAGCGAGGTATGGTGGCTCTCTGGTGTTGGCTCTAATCAACTGGAGGTTCGCGCTAGCAAGAAATTGATATGCTTACACTTACTTTAAGGTCTGATCGAGTGGGAGACAGAAATCGAAGAATAAGAACGCTACCAAAGTGTCGTCCTGAGTGACATCCATAGAGATGTCTAAGAACCAGTGCTCTCTTCATAGGCAGCCTGACAAGTACATCATTGAGACTACCTTAAGGTACTCCGTACAGATACCCGACCATAATCCTGGTCCAAATACACTCAAGCTAAAGCAAAACAAAACCAAGACTTCTTTACCCGCCAATCAAAACCTGCTACAAACCATGGATGAACTGTACTCTAGCGCTGACACTATGCCCGATCTGACTAGCTGACAACACTGCAGAACGCTTTTTTGGGGACGCAAGGAGCGCAGTCCGGAAACCAGGCAATCGCCCGAAAACCCATCTGGCATTCAACTTTCAGCCAGCCTTGTGAAATAACGATGACAACGTGCTTGGACTAGGAATGAGATAAGATGAGACTATGGTCGAATCTGGTGACAACAAGCGAATTCTTGCCAAAATAGAAGCTTGTCATTCCCTTTCGTTTCATGCAGAACTGCCAAGGCGCAAACCCTAAGGGAGGTTTTGGCTGGAGGCAGCTATGGAGGGGTGAAAGTCTGTCTATGAATTGAGCCTCCGATTTCTGGACTCGGACTTGGGTACCTAGTACTGCCTACGACTTATTCGTAGGCTATTTGTTAACCGGAGCTTGGACTCGGACTCACCGAGAATCTTGGAAGCTTGAAGTTCTTTTGTCAACGAGTGCTATTGGGACACCCCCATGACCGTGCCTTGCGCGCGTGCAATCCAGCGAGAAATCCGTGACGCAGGGTTGTCTACAAGCCTGGAACATGAATTTTCCCCAGCTCGCACTGACTGCGTGACCATACAAGCCACAGAAGTGGATTCTAAGATATCGCCACCAGCAGACAAACTGCAGCATCACTATGCCAGTGACTGCGCCATTGACGATCGGATCCGAGAATTGAACCGAAATCAGGATCATTTGGAATCCTGAGTAAAGAAAACTAGGGAACCAGTGGGGAGCATAAGATTCCAGCATTTCAGGTATTAGTCTATGTCCTAGGTAATTGCACCGGAGCACTCCCTGCATAGTGCCTAATATAATTTTTTATCGCTTAGGAACCAGTCGATGGAAATGATTCAGGTTGCGTCTGACTCGGTGCATAGTCACGCTGCATATATTACGTGAAGACTGGTTTCATACTATGGAGTCTTACCTCGGTAGTACTCCGTATTTAGCAGGAAATACCAGAAGCAATTGTTTGGAAATCAGACCCACGTGCTTGATTCAGGCGCAAGATATATCACTATTGTATTGTTGGCTGTAACTACTATTTGTCTAAATATCGCTAAACTACCATTCGAGTATCTATTCAGAGTGGACTGTGGACTGTGGACTAAACCTGCACTACTCTGCTGGCATTCAATAATGCACTTTATGGGCCGAACCCGATCTTAGAGGTGCAGAGTTATAGAGGTCCTGCATTTCCGAGTCTCACTCTTATTCTTAAAGTAAAAATACTACTAATACTGTCACTCCCATGTTAATTACGAGTAGACCTTGCAAAGATATGCTTCGTAGAGTTCAATGGTACTGTACTGATTTAGATACGGAGTACATGAGAATAATAATTTAAATTTAGGTGTTGTTGCAGGGCCCACTGCCTTCGTACCTCCTGTACCACTCAGACCAACCTTCGAATTTCCATTTTCCACATGGTTGGCACATGCGGTTCCAATCCGAATCATCCATCCATCTCTATTTTTCCCTTTTGCGCTTGTTCCCGTCGATCGATCGGATTTACTTGCTGATTTCTCGATCATAGGAATCCTTATTAGATACGCAATATCATCGCTGATCATGGGTCCAGAAGAAAAATTAATAAATAATGAAAGAAAGAAGAGAAAATACAAAAAAGAAAAATAAATAAAAAAATAAAAGAGAAAGACAAATGGAAAAGAAACCTGTCGTCTTCGGAGCTGTATTGTTTACTCCGTACTCTGTGCAGGCGGATACCTTTCTCAGATCCGCCACCACAGGCACAAACTGAACGGACCTCCGGTTCTGGCCTGCATCAACCTAGACTAACTAAGTGCCTAGATTCCTAGATATCATGCCGGCTTTGCTGGGTGTTCATCTGAGACTCCTAGTTGCCTCGATGATGACAGCTATCATGCTTCGTCCGAGCTGACTCTTCTTGGTAGAGACAGGCGCATCATCGACCTTTTCATTCCCCCTACTTCTGCTTTAAAGACGGGTGAGAAATGTATATACTTTTACTGACTATGCCTTTATTTACTTTACAACAATCACCGTCCTCGAGCCTTACATGCTCTTGCTCCGACTTCGATTGACTCGTTCATTCCTCGAACACCTCTTGGTACCATCAGGTGACTAGCAATCACTACTGTCGCTTCATCTACCTCACCATCGTCTCATCGTACTGGCGCCTGAAGCTCACTCGCCTTCAATTGTCGTCCTGTGAGATGGCCTATCCCTTACCCTCCCCGCTAAGAGCACGTTTCTGATGAGTTGAGACCAGGACACGAAGAACCGGCCTCAATGACAGCCTTCAAGTTCGGGATGACACTAAAGAAGGGCGCTCCTTCACGCAAGCGCGCTCTCGTCTTACCCATCATTGCCCCCAAAGACGATCATACAACATCCAACCCCATCGATACCTCCATGACCGAGCAGACACCACTTCCCAGACCACGTTCGCGATTTCCTCCGCGATCTCGTACAGGGTGCTGGTAGGTCTCTCCGATCAAGATTCCGCGCCGTTGGGGGTGGTGCGCTGATGTCATACTTGCTTCCCTCTAGGACATGTAGAGTGAGCCAGCTCTTCCATCCTGATCTTGCCTGCGAGGTACCTGGAATTTACTGACTTCTATGTCTTCAATTGGATTAGAGTCGCAAAGGTCAGTCTAGCCCTACTCGCATGCGCCGCTTGTTTGGTATATTCGGGACGGTTTGACCTTTTCATTGGATTGGACTTTAGTAACTGGTCTACAGTCAAGTGCGACGAAAGTCATCCGCAGTGCAATGTAATACACCTTGCCTCTTGAATCATCCTACGCAGAAATGCAGTCTGACTCCTATATCCATAGCAATGTTCGAGGTTGGGTCACATCTGCGACTATCGACCTCGTCTATCCTTTCGCGACGATACACGCCGAACCATAGAGCGGATGTCTGATATCAAAATCGCAGGCAATACAGTTTGGGATCGTGAGACACCTTTGCTTTCTATTCCTCGTCGAGATATGGTGCACTAACTCGGCCATGCCAAATCGCAGCAAACGCATGTCCACAAAGCAAGAACGCCTCGAGCGATTCCGCGACGCGTGATCTCCTACCCCCTTTTCCACTGCTCGCTACGGACGAAGAACGGGAGAGGAAGGCAGAAACATCTAGGCCTGGCACATATCACGTCATCGTCATCCCGGAGAGTTTTACGCATCTTCCGGAGTACATTGAGGATGCATCTGAGGAAGAACTCGGAGATACAGTCCCAAGTCCCTTGTGCGGGAACGCCGAGACTGCCCAACTCACAAACAATCCGGAGTTTGAAGATTCCAACGTGGTCATCCTGAGACAATTCAAGGATTCCAAACGGTCATCGTCTTCTCAGTGTCGGAGTGCAAGCCATTCACCCACATCCGACTTGCGCGAGTCTTCACTTTCCGCCGCCACAATTGACGCGACATCTCAGAATGCCGCAGATGATGATCCAATTCTGGACATGTTGGAACAGGAGACTCTAGAGGCGATTCTTCTCAGTCATTTTCGCGATGTGGTGTGCATGCAACTCGTTCCAGCCGGAGGGATCTTCAACTTTGCGGGTGGGAATCCACTAGACGCCGATGTCTTCGACCGTGAAGCCACAAACTTCCCTCCTGT